TCTTGGAGATATGGTGCTGCGAAAACTGGCTATTTGCATGCAGAATCTAGGTCCATATCTTTTAAAATGTACCAAATTAAAATCAAGTTGGATCGGGGTTGGGGATTTAGCTCAGTGGCATAAGTGCCTGCCTGGCAAGCACGAGGTCGTGAGTTCAATCCCTGGTACCAAAAAAAAAAAAAAAAAATCAAATTGGATCAAAGATCTAGATATTAAAACAGAAACACTGGGTGTGCTGGAAGATAAAATAGGTAAAAATCTTGAAGACATAGGCATAAGTAAGGACTTTCTGAGCAGAATACCAATTGTATAAGAAGTGTGCCAAAATTTAAAAAACGGGATTACACTAAATTAAAAAGCTTCTACACAGCAACAGAAACAAGCAGTACTGAACTGATAACCTACAGATTGGGAATTTTTTTTTTTTTTTTTTTTTGCTAGCAACTCCGCAGACAGAGGATTAATATCTTGAAAATAAAAAGAACTCAAAAAATTGTGTTTTCCCCCCAAAAGACCCATTTATAAAATGGACAAGATACTCTTTAAAACAAGTAAAAATGGCCAATAAGTACTTGAAAAAAGCTCAACATCTTTGGGCAAAGCAGAAATGCAAATCAAAACAACACTGAGATCCCATTTTACCCCAGAAAGAATGACTATCAAGGATGCAAACATCAAATACTAGTGAAATTGTAGGGGAGAAAAGAAACCTTCTACAGTGTAGGAGGAAATGCAAACTAATATAACCACTATGGAAACCAGTATGGAGAGTCCTCAAAAAGCTGAAACTAAAAATTCCATTTGACCTCGCTATACCTCTTCCGAGTAACTTCTTGAACAAGCTGAGACCTCGCAGTAGAGCAGGATGCACAGCATAACTCACAGTAGCTTGGCAATGGCCCACAAGTCCAGCAGTGGATGAATGGCTAGAGACAATGCTCAGCTATAAAGAAGGATAAATTTGAATGATTTTTAGAAAAACAGATGAACCTTGAGATCATAAAGCTAAGTGAAATAAATCAGACACAGAGGAATGAAGAGTACATGGTTTCTCTTCCATGAGAAATGCAAACTAGAAATGATTTACAGAACAAAAGATAGATGAAGGAAATATAGAAGTGGACTTTGTGGTCATCAGAGGGGATCTGTGGATGGATGGCCATAGAAGGGAGGAGAGGAAAAGGGGAAGCAAAAAGGATCATATGCGCTATGTATCTGTACCAATTCCACAGGATGAATGTGTTAGTATGGCAAGCATACTAATAATAAGGGGAGGAGAGGTATAACGCTCAATGGCTGTCGCTGAGGAGCCCCCATAAATGTTGCCAGAATGAATGGATCCAGCCATACTCTATAGCATGTACCTCAGTCAGCACTGTGTTTATTGCACTCTTGTTTTATTATTCTCCATCTTTTTAAAAAATTGTTGAGCTATGATCCACATGGAAACAGCTGTACACAATACTGTATACAACTCCAGGAGTTTGGGGATAAATATATACCTGTGAAACCACCACCCCCACTCAGGTCATGGGCAGATTCTCCATGTTTTCAGGAATTCCTCCTCCTGCCAACTGGTCTGCAGCATCTGATGAAACCCAGCTCTGCCTGAGTCTTCGCTGTGTGTCCCCTGTCTCTCTACATGACCTCATCATCAGCTCTAGGACTTTAGTATTATTTTTACCCTAAAGATGTAGCAACCCTTATCTCCAGCTGATAAGAAGGTTATCAGCCTTCTTAGTCTCCTCTCTGCCTCCAGGGCAGCTCAAACCCCAAACACTCAAAACAAAACTCTTGGTTTCTACTGGTCCCCGTGGAGCTGCTCCTCCTCCCAGCTCCTGGACTCACCTCGCTGCCTCTCTCCACACCCATCTGTCTGCGTTAAGGTGGGAGCCTCCTGATTGGAGTCCTCTGCCCACATGACTGCTGGCTCCTCTTTACTCTTAGAACAAAACCCAAAGTCCTGGCCAGCCTCTCCCCGGTACTCCCTGCTCCACAGCTGTCCTGCTGTCCTCCCTCTCAGCGCAAGCACAGTGAGCAGGTGCTTGCCTCAGGCTTTGCATTGGCTCCTTCCATCTTCTTTAAGCCCTTTACTCAAATGTCATCTCTTCAGAGAGAACTTTTTGATGATCTTACTTTACACCAAGTACAACAACGTGTTACTGTCTATGTTTACCTTTTCCTAGCATTTATTACTATTTGGCATCATTTGATACTTTTATTGGTTTACTTGTTACCATCTGTTTCCATCTGTTTTCCCTCTAGTGTGTGCTCTCTGAGAGAGCTTCTTTGATGCTTAGAAAACTTTTTATTCCTCCTATCAGGAGCTTGATTAACATTATATGAATGAATGAATGAATGATTAGCAAATCTCGGGCTCTTTCTGATCTTATTCATCCTTGCCCACCCACAGCAGTGGCCTCGGGCAGGGTACAGCACAGTGGCTCATAAATGCTTGATTGCAGTAGAGGCAATAAAGGCCTTCACTGAGCAAATGAGTAACCAAGTCCTGCAAGGAATCTCCAGGGCAGTGAGCAGGGAGGTGGCTTGAAACCTGCTTCCCTGGGGAGAACACATCAGTCCCTGATCCTGGCTGAAGACAGCGGTTCCTGGGAGGGGCATACAAGCGGCCTTAGGGAACAAGCTGACAGGACAAGGCCTGGAGCTTGTCGGCCCACACAACAGGAAACTGGAGGCACTGCTGGGAACCGTGGGCCTCCCACAGGCTCAGAGTAGCCAGTCCTTGACTTTCCGCTTAATCTTGAGTAAGGTGTAAGTGTCACAAACCCCAAAACTCAAAGAGACTAACTGGCTTGCTAAGGCCTTACTGGCAGTGAGTGACAAGGTTGAGATTTGACCCCAGGTCTACTTAATTCCAGATAATAAACGATATGCACATTTTTCTGAAGACTCCCTAAGTGCCAGGATCTAAGTAAGTGCCCTACACACATTTGATCTCATGTAGCACTCATAACACCCTTTTAGAGAAATATTGTTCTCTTTATTTCCTAAGTTAAGAGACCCTGAGTCTCACAGAGAGACTAAGTACCCAGCACTATCAACATATTACCTTACATATTATCTCCAACAACTGAAGATTTTGATTATAAACCACTGTCCGGGGTAAATTTGCTCCAAGACTCTAAAAAGGAACATTTAGAAAGTGATCAATAGTAAGACGGGTATTTTACCCAGCATGCCTGTCTGCCCTAACCCTAGCCTCTCCTGCCTCATCCTTCTCCAGGTCTAGGTGAGCCCAGCCTGCACAAGGAAGGCTCCGAGGCAGCGGGGTGCAAAGTCCAGCCTAGGCCCTGTCCTCGCACAAAGCCTGCCTGACCAGTGCTCACAGCCACATTAATAGGTAATGAGGTGAGGAGGAAGAGAAGCGTAGAGCAGAGCTGAAAACACAGAGGTCTGAGGCTCTCTGAAGCTTGCACAGCCTTGGGGGGCCCAGGAATAGAGGTGAACCCAGAGTTGAGTCAGGTATCTGAGACGCTAGAGATGTGGTCTCAAAAGAGATAAAGAGTAGGAAACTCAACAAAAGGGTGGACAGCAAAAGAAAACCTGACATTATTTTCAGACAAAGTGGAAGAAAGTGAAATTCAAGCCCAGGGTGGGGGAGGGAAGGTTGAGTTCCCTCAAAGTGGGTTGCCTGAAACCTACACCGAGCAATGTCCTCCACAGCTGATATTTCTCCCCATGGGTGCCAAGATGCACCAGTGAACAGGGTTTGACCCTTGATATTTGCTGGACCCCAAACTCCCACTAAATGTCCAGCTGCCTCATAACCCTGAGAGTAGGATCTGGGATGCTCCCAGGGCCTTGTTTGTGACTTCTGCCAGTATGAGCTGTCCCCTTTGCTCCCCTACCAAGCCTTGGTCCCAGCTCTCAGTGCCCAGGTATCCGTCACCACTGTAGTTTCTCCCACTCACACGACCAGCATTTTGAGGACATCAATTGGGTTTGGCATAGAGGGAATGATGAACTCTGGCTGCTAGGCCCACACCCCTGGCACTTAGCCTATGTGGCCCCACAGGTCTGCTTCCTGGGCTTCTCTGGGGCTCTCATCAGGACAGGATGGGGAAGCGCCCTGATGCTGACCCCTCAGAATGTGAATGGTGCAACCCGTCTAATGATATTGTCTTTTCGGGCTCCAGGAGGAACCCACAGCCCAGGGCCTGTGGGAAGCTCCAGATACCTTTGGCTTCACCTCCATCCAATAGTCCGCAGTAGGCCCATCCACAGGGTCCCCTCTACGGCTCTTTCTGGCCTCAGGGCCTCAGAAGATCCTGGGAAGCTTTGGAAACACCCTGGAAATGCCCTGGGTGGGATCCAGCAGCTCCCAGTGAAGGTCTGTGAGGACCCAGGACATCAATGAGCCCCTTACTGGAACTCTCCAGAGGAGATGGGACTCAGCCCAAGGAGACGGAGGTTGGAGCCAGGCTCTTCACACCAAACCACCTTTCCCCTTCTTCCCCAGGGCAGCCTGGCCCAACAGCTCCACAGCTGCCTGTCAGGTCCTCAGAAATGCTTCTGGACCCGGAGGAGCGCCATGACGGATACCTAACTCATCTTCAGGCCCTGAGGTTAAACGGCAGAGAGAGGTGCCCAGGTTCCTTTCTCCATTCCTTCCTCTCCGACACTTAACAGTGGCTCACCCTCTGCTCCAACAATCCCAGGCTGGGGCCAGCGAGAGGCGGCTGATTTGCCCACTGGTCCCCGCTTCGCCAAGGCTGGAAAAAGGCCCAGCCCCGGAGAGCTCCAAACCTCTGGGGCCAGAGGAAGGGTATTTTCCGGAGGCAGCCTCTTCACCTGGACTCCTGGGCCCCCTGCCCTCCTTTTACTGGGGACCCTTCATGGGTCCCTGCCCACCCAAAGCTCTCAGGCCAGGCTGGAAAAAGAAGAGTAACGCCGGCGATGCCCCCCACCCCTTCCCCCGACCCTCAACCCCCAGGCCGCCCCGACTCTGGAGTCCCGGGTGTTTGGAGCGCAGCTCTGACCTTATGCCGGAATTCTCGGGCCACCTTCCGGTCCATGGCTGGGCGGGATAAGCCGCGTCGCTGCACGACCGGCTTCTTTGGGTGCCAAGGTGTCTGGAGTTGGCCAGAGCCTCTGGCGCCCGGGACCTGCCAGTCTCCGGGACCTGGGCGGGGCCTGGAAGCGCCGGGGGTGGGGTCTGGGGCGGGGCGGGGCGGGGCCTGCAGGGCGGGGCGGGGCCGCAGGGAGGCGGGAGATGCCCGTACTGAAGCATCCAGTCTCACAGACGCCCAGGAGGAATAGTGGCCTCCTGGATGCCTGTGTGCTGGCCACGGCAGGACTTTGCTGAGTCCGGCTTTCCTTTTGAAGTGATTCCCAAACATGCGATTGAGGAAGAGGATCGTGACAGGGAGGAAGGAGGTTTGGGACTTGGGGGAGAGGGGGTGTAGAGATCTCTTTGCCTTGGTTACCTAGCTGACCTTCACCCAGGACCCGGACTCACTGGCTCATGTGATTCGATTCAGTCACGGTATGCTCACCTCCTAGGTGCGAGGCTGGTGCATCAAGTAGGAGGCACCAGGCCTGGACCACTAAGAGGAAGAGGGTGATAGAAACCAGAGCATGGGGCAAGCTAACTGTGGAACTTATCCCAGACCTGCTTACACATCCATGACCCAAATTAACCGCCTAAAATTGTGACTTCAGGAACCTGTGACCGTCCCCTCTTGGGGTGGGGAGGCTGCCCAGTTTTAGAGCAGTTACCTAGCATGCAGGTGGCCCTGGGCTCCATCCCCTGCACCAAAGTTTGTTTTTTTTTTTTTTTTTAAATTGAAGAAAGAGCCTCCAGAATCTTTCTCCCAATAGCTGGAGTTTTGCAAGTAGACTATTTTCATATGGGTAAATTTTGCCTAGTTTAGGATGTAAACTCCTCCTGAAGGAACTTAAGATATTATCCATATCATCATGTTAGAAATTAAAGAGAAAGGCTTGGAAGATTTTTCAGTGATCCAGAAAAGAGCACACAAAATATTTTCCCTTGCAGCTTGCAACGCTGATTCTCTACATTTCTTTTTTTATTTTATTTAAGGAGAAAAAGAAAAAAAAAAAAAAAGCAGAATAAGGGTACAAGTTATACAGAATTTCAGAAAAAAAAAACAGTAGGAAATCACTAGTTAATGGGTTACATATTGTCATCTTAGAAATATTGATTCTCTACATTTCCTAACTGTGCCACATCACCGCTTACTTCACATTTAGAACCCAGGTGGGGTGGTAACTGGCCTTATCTGGGACAGTGCAGCCCATGGCCACCCAGTCCTTTCACAAGGCCACAGCCTAACCCTGCGCTGCCTTGTTCCTCAGGCTTTCCGCTTGGTTTTCAGAACACCACTGGGTCCTGGTTCTCTTCTTCCTGAGTGTTCCTCTGAGTCCATTCTTCCTTCTCCCATTGTTCAGTCAATGTTCTTTTATTATTGTTGTTGTTGTTTTTGTTGAATATCTCATGCAGTTTATTGAAATACTGTACTGAAAGTGAAGAATAATGTTTGCTTGTGTACACATTTACACTGCTGAAAAGCCAAAAAATCCTAAGTTTGGGATGGTGTATATACATCACTTTAGAACTGTGCCTATGTCATTTCAGAACCTTCCTTTTCACGTATAGTTAATACCTTAAGAACTTTTCCATATTGCCATAGTCTTTTAAGCCTTCATTCTGGACTTCTAAGTCAGTAGAACACTTGGATCCATTCCCCAGTTAACCAGCATTCTTTAAGACTTTACCCTTAACTGTCTCCTCTTTACCTCCTCCTCTATGCCCACAGCTTCAGGTACCCTGGTGAGCATCGTTTCACCACCCTATGCCTACAGCAGTACAGTGCATGGCATAGAATAGATTCTCAACACATTTATAAAATGAATGAATGCATGTATACACCTCAAATTAGACTCCCTACCTGCCTGGGTGTCAACTGGATCCAGTCTCTTCTTCCTTCTCCCCCTCCTATTTCTCCTTGTTATAATTACTTGCAAGGCCTGCCAGCTCGTTGATGATCTATGGTTCATCAAGCAGATGATGCACAATACTCCAAGGCTCTCAGGCCCAAATTTCACTATTTAAAAACTTCTCCTGGTCACCTTGTTGTTTGCATCAAAGGTTTGATAGCATTTTAAAGGTTTATACATTGATTGATTGTCAATTCTGTTTTTGATGGGGGTAATGAGACATTTTTGTCAGTCAGTATTTCTTAAGCCACTGCTGGCATTCAGAGGACTAAGATGTGGGTCATTCCCCAAAAGGGTAGGCTGGGAATTTTGGATGGGAATTTGGGGGTGGGAGTAGTTGGGAGCCATTGGGAGCGCAGTTAGCACCCTGCATGCCTGAGCCCTGATTCAGCTATCCATGACCACAACTCATTAACTGGCATGTCCCAGGCGTCGGTGTGGCCTTGTATAAAAAGAGAGGGTCAGTATTTCTGATCTCTGGTGGAAGGAGCTTCTAGGACCCAGCTCAGGGAGGTGGAGGCTGCAGAGACCGGGCTGAGTCCCCTGGGGAGGGGTAGCCACGGGCTATATGGTAATAAGTTGGGCAGTCCTGTCGCTCTAGCTAGGGGAGGAGCCAAGCGCCTGGAAGAAGGGCCCAGCAGAGAGGCGAGGCGGAGAGGCTGAGGGAAAGGGAGATCCATCCAGACCAACTGCGGAGGTGTTTGTAGGTGTGGCCCCGCACCTGGGAGAGGCACCGCAGCCAGCGGACCCTAGGCTCAGGGCCCCCGGTTCCTGCGCGCCCCTATGGGAGCCCGGACGCCCGCGCTTTGCTTGCTACTCGCTAGCATCTGGCTGCCTCGAGGTGAGCCGACCCGGGGTGTCTTGGGGGCAGCGTCTGGTAAGAGCAGGATGGACAGGGAGGCCAGGCTGCGGAAACATTTATGGCAACAGTCTTGGACATGTGGGAGAGAGGAGGAAGAGAAGTCAGAGGGAGGGTTGAGGGTCCCAGGAGAGGGAAGGTGGAAGAGGGCAGGAGAGGCCAGTGACAGAGGGAAAAGGGTCCTATGCTGGGCAAAGTGGAAGAGACCCACGGGGGAACCAAAGGGAATTGGGGCTCAAGGAGTAGTAGGAAAGAAGGAGAGCCTTATTCCAGAAGGTCATCCAGAGGCGGAGAAAGACTTGAGAAGACTGCAGGCAGACAGAAGGGGTAATGAGGCAGGAGTGGGTGGGGATCTTCCTAGCATATGCGGGACCAGGCAGGAGGCCCCAGCAAAGGGAGGCCTGACGCCCATTGGGAATGATCCCCTCTCCCCAGTCACAGCTCCCACAGCGCCAGCCAGAGCACAGCCATTGTCCCAGCCAGCCCTGGAACCCAGGTGAGTAGGTGGGTAGTGCATGCTTGCACTTTGCCCCATCTTTGTTCCTGCCACAAGTGACTCCAGAGGCTCAGTTAGCATGCAGGAGGGGTGGGGGAGGCATGGCCATTCCCAGCCCCCCACCTATGTCAGACTCCTTTCTCACCTAGCTACAGCTCCCCGGAGATGACCCTGGCCATAGGGGATGACACCGCAGTGATGGGAGGCCAGGTAAGAGGCTGAGGGAAGGAAGGGAGCGTCACCGGGTAGGGGGCTTCTTCCTGTCTGGGTCTGAGGTTGCCAAGGAGCTCAGCAGTTATGGGAGGACTGTCCTTGGAGCAGAAGGGAATAAACAGGTTCCTCCTATATGTGTGAAATGCAGATTGGTAAAACACTTCCATGCACACTTACCTGATCTCATAGTGCCCTGTAGTCAGCACAAGGCCTTTCTAGGAGATAGCTGAGCCCTTCTCTTCTTCCCCAGGTGAAAGCAGGCAGGTGAATGTTTAGGAGTAGAATTCTCTTTTCCCTGCCTGGTCTGCGGAGTGACAGGCTCTAATCCATGCCTTGTGCTGTACCCCAGGAATGCTGCCCTGAGACAAACCAAAATGAGGCTGCCTGATGGGAATTGCTAGGAAAGACTGTCCATGGAGCAGAGAGAGCCCTGAACTACTCTCCTTTCAGTCCTTGTAGCTAACTCTCCTGGGATCCTGTTTGTAGGAGAGGTGGCAGGTTTATTTTCTCCCTTTGCAAAACTTTGTTGGTCTCAGGGCCAGGTGAATCAAGTTCTCTTTTGAATTCCAGCCTATATATTTCTCCCTTTTTCTGCTGCTGCAGACATGTTACACATTTAGCCCAACTGTACCAAGGTCCCCAGAGTTAGCTGAAGCCTCAGCTCATGTGCCCCGGCCCAGAGATCAGCTTTAGGGGTCTTGGGGCCAGCAGGCTTGGGAGCATCATTTACAGCAGGAAACAATGAACCCCAGCTATGTGCTGTTTGGGAAATAGCTGTGAAGGTCCAAAGTGGGCCAGGGTGGGGTGGGCTGGGCACACTTCCTCTCTAATGTGGATTCAGTGGGTATTTTATTTCTTGTTTATCTACACTTGTCGGCTCTAAGTTTTAGAGTCACAATCAGGTACACTTGGAGCTGAAATAGAGTATTGTTCTTATAGCTAGAGAACTGGCATGGATGGCTGTCTTGCCAGGCCCCCATAATGAGAAGGTGGACCAGAGTATCCTGGTGGAGCCAGGCCTGTCCTTCTGCACCATGAGGTCTATAGTGCTCCAAGAATCCGCATGTTTTAGTGGGGAAATGACCCTTACCCACATGCGTCGTTTCTCAGGGAGCTCTGGCCTTGCTGGTTTCCTTTTCCTTTGTGGTCGGAAGCATCTGGACCAGGCAACCCAGGCAGCTTTCTCACATTGCTCCAGAGAGCAATAAGAACCTACAATGGCCCTTTTTAAAGGTGATTGGAAGAAGTGAGAAAAGTGCCCATGCACCAGGGGCACTTTTAAGGCTGCTATCTAGAATGCCCTCAATGGGAAGACCGTGGGGCTGGTCCCAGCCCAGCAGCTGCCAGACTCCATTTTCAAGGCTGCCCACTTCTGCAGAGCCCAGCTATCCTCCAGAGACCTGGCGGTGTAGGCCAGTGGTCCATGAATTTGGATGAGAAAAAAAAATTCATTGTTATTTTCAGAAACCTCAACCCAAATGAAATTTAGACTGTCTTTCAATTATTGCTGCAGACTACAAACCACAAGAGCATTAGCTATGTCTGTGACTGCCACCAACAGAAATCACAGATATTTACCTTTCACAATACAGCTCTTGATATCTCAAGGTACCATTTATGTTTGCCAACACTTTATGATTTTGGCAGTGATAAGACTTGTGCTAAGTCTTGTTATTTCATGTGTTTTCATGTGTTAATATGCACATGCTTCTTTGAGCATAAATATCGCAAAAGCAAACATTTTGATAGAATAGTTTCATAATTACATTGTAATAGAATTGATTTCCTTTGTAAACTTATGTTTTATTTTATGTATTCAAAGACACTGTTCTAAGAAGCTGTCCAGATAAGCCTTACTACATTATCAAGGAGGCTCATTAAATACAGATGATTAAGACAAGTCATTTGGGTGAGATTTGAAGACTTCTCCAGAAAATGGCTTTGGAGCTGAGTCTGTTTTATCCTCCTAACATGAATTTCAAAGACCATATCTGAGGTGGGGATAAGGGGTGGAACACAAAGTCTAAGCCTGGGTAAGAGTTCTCCCCTGGAGGGAAGACAGTGGCACTTTCCCTGGTGCTGCCCTTCCTGATTCCTGTGGTCTCCATGGACCCCAGGGTAGATTACTAGGAGGGTAGGTTGCCTGGGTCCTGGTGCTATCCTAAGTTGCAGGCTAAGCTCAGGAACCAGAGCCCAAAATGGGATAAGAACATGGAAACCTGGCAGAGCATGACCTCCCAGGGAGTCAGACGGACAAAGTGAGGGAGAGCATGGAACAGGGTGACTTTGCTGGCCAAGGAGGAGCTGAGGGCTGGGGCTCCAGGGACCAAGACTTCTGAATACTGCGTGTGTTCCATGTGCATTGCTAGAGGTTCTGGGCTCCACTTTAACATGCAGGGATGACAGTGAGGGCAAAAGACACCAGACAAACACCCGCAGTTTGGCCTGTGACATGTTGGCCCTATGAACAAGAACAGAAGGGTTACAAGGGCAGATGCAGTCCCTGCCCTCGAAGATCCATATGATGGTGAGGGTCTTGTCCTGGGAGGAGGCTGAGCCTCTGACAGGCAGGGCCCATGCTGTCTAGCCTTGGACTGGAGTTCTGAGAGGACGAGTGTCCATGTCATCTGTCCTATGGTGACTGAGCATGCACAGTGTTCAGAATGGTCCTTTCAGATGGGTTAGGCCTGAAGGTCCATGTCCTGGAAATTGTGTCCAGAAGGCTGGGTTTATCAGCTCCCCTTTGCCTGTCTCCTCCTCTGATCTGTGGACTCCGGGGCTTCTCAGTTCCCAGGACAGTGGCTGGTGACCCATTAGGGCTGCTGGACAAGCCCCAGGGGAAGGGGAGGGATGAGGGGCTGCTTTTGTGCCTTCGCCCTGCTTTGGGTTTGCTCTCCAGGCAAGGGGTTTTGTGTGGTATGGTGAAAGACACACAGATATCCTGAGGAAGAAGGGGAGGTGAGGAGGGGCTGGAGCATGGAGAGGGATGTGTTCAGGCCTTGCCAACCTGCCAGAGATGACACTTTGGAAGGAAAAATCTGAGGCTGTGCTCCGCAGGCCCAGGGCATCCTTGGACCTGTCAGGGGTGTGCCGGGGAGGCAGAGTGGCCTCAGCTCCAGCCCCGGAGGTGAGGGACCTCCTCCCTGCAGGTGATTGACCAGAAGAACTGTGACCTTAGGAAGGCCACCCAGGAGCCAACTCTCAGGTCAGCCCTTGTTTGATCCCTTCTCCGTCCTGTCTCTAGAAGGAAGCTGAACCCCTGGAAGCCTTGGCCATGTCCTCCTGGGAAAGGCGGCTCCATCGGGCCAAGTGTGCGCCTGCTTGTGAGTGGCATCCTCCCTGTGGCCAGTGGGGTGTCTGAGGGAGGGCCCTGGCCACAGGGAGGGACTTCTTTTCCCTGTTTGGGGTCTCTTTCGGCCTGCTTCAGCCTTGGCCTGCAGGGTCATTCTCTTCCTCCTTCTTGCCTGAGCGTAAGTCACATGACCGTTTCACTAGGGTTCGTGCTCTCTGACTCCCCCGTCGCCCTTCCTTGATAAGTGGCTGTTTTCCCTCCACCTCCCCCTGTTTCTGTGGCCTCTGACGACTTCCCATGATGTCCTTCACTGTGACTTGTTTCATACGCCCTCTCTCCAGTCCCATGTCTATGTCCCTTCCATTCCCCTGTCCTGTGTCTGTGCTTGCCTCTTGTCACTTGTCCTGTGTCCCTGGCCTGTCCTCTGGCTGTGACTCCTTCCCTCACCACTCTCTGGCCTTCCTCTTCTTCTTGTCCTCTGTGGCCCTTCTTGCCACTGAGTTCCCTCATGATGCCCCCTAACACATGCCCTGGCCTCTCCCCTGACCCCAGGGGGCAGGGGCTATCTCTGGGCCATCTCCCAGCGCTCCCCACATGCTCTATGCTGCCTGGCCTGCTGACCAGGAGTTTAGTTTAGGGAACTGAAGGCCCAAGTGACACATACCAAAGGCAGAGACTCTGAGTCCCTATCCCATCTGCCACCCAGGGAGAAGGCACCCGAAGGTTCCCCTTCAGGCTAGCTGATGAGCGCTGGGGTTGCCTGGGGGAGGCTATAGCCTGGTGCCCAGCTGAGAATAGGTGGGTATCATCGGGTTCTGCTGGTCTTGGTTCTGTGTTTCCCTTGCAGACTTGTTCTCCTGTTTCAATGGGGGTGAGTGTGTGCACCCCACCTTCTGTGACTGCAGACGCTACAATGCCACTGGACCACGCTGCCAGATGGGTGAGTCTGGGCTCTACCTGCCTCCAGGAGGGTCCTTGGATACTGGGAAAGCTGAGGGCCTGTGCAAGTGGCTGGAGGAAAAGGGAACAACCTTGCCAGGACTAGAACCCACAGCCTTTGTCCTGTGCCTGCCTCATCCGGGCACTTTCTTCCCTTGCCTCAGTGTACAATGCTGGCCCCGAGCGGGACAGTATCTGCCGGGCCTGGGGACAGCACCACGTGGAAACCTTCGATGGCCTGTACTACTACCACTCTGGGAAGGGCAGCTACACATTGGTGGGGCGCCATGAACCTGAGGGACAGAGCTTCTCCATCCAGGTGAGGCTTCCCTTGCCCTGTTAGCCCCTGAAGCTGGGCTGCCCCAGGCTCTTCTTATTCCACAGAAGCTGGCACCTTCCTGTCCCCTACACTCTCAGTTCCTGCTGCACCCAGAAGGAGTCAGGGCAACCCAGCAAGAGCCAACTCTCTGTTACCCACTCCCCTGGGACCCTGGCCATTCATTCAGTTAGTTACAAATTCATTAAGTATTTAAGTGCATATTGTACTCTTTTCTGGGCACAAGATTTGGTGGGAGGAGGCCCTGATATGGTCTATATCTTCATGGATCTTACAGTTTTATGGAGAAAACAAGCCATCAATCAAACAAATCATTTCAAGTGCAACTGGGTACGATAAAGGAGAAATGCCAAATGCTAAAAATTATGCTACCCAAGCCTCATCTTGTTTATTAAGGAGGATGATGATTAGAGAAGGCTTCTTGTAGGAAGTGACATTTAACTTGCGATCTGAAGAAAGAATTGAATGGGTAGAGACAAACATGACAACACTTCACAAAGGGGACCTGGGTGCTAAGGACCTGAGATAAGGAAAAACAGGGTGCCTCACAGATGACAGTGGATGACTCAGTTTACAGTCACCTCTTCTAAGGTGCCTGCTGGGTCTCCTGACCTCCCAAGGAGCAGAGGAGATCCTCTTGAGAAGCACGATCCCAACACTGCATGTATCTTACAAAGTCTGTTACGGGGTCACATCCTCTATGGGATGCGAGCTTCCTAGGGCAGGATTTGGTGCTGCCAGTGCCTGCATTAGGGCTCAGTAAAAGCTTGTCAGATGTGTAAGTACCTGTGTGGGAGCCACTGTCCTGCAGACTGGATTTATACCTCTCCCTGCGTGTTGATTGGGATTCCCTTGGGGCACAGGCCAGTCCATCTCCATCTGGAGGAGTGTCTACTGGGCTATGCTGTTCTGCTGGCGGGCACCTTGGTCAGCACTGAGTTAGGGCCAAAGGGCTGGGGATTTGGGGAGAACCTAATGCTCTGTGTCACCCCTCTGCTAGCCAGAGGTACTCCCTGCCTCAGGCATAGATCTATTGAAAGGCTGCCTTGGACAGGCTGGGGACCTTGATCAGTTCTTTCCTCTTGGCCTTGGGCTATCATAAAAACAGTTTTTCATAACTACATCATTTCATGATAAATGTGTGACAGTTACTTAGACTAATGGGGTACTGTGCTTTAGTGGGTTAGGGAATAAACTAAGTCACATCCAGCATTAAAAGAGAGAAATATAGAAACTATTGTAATTATACTTTACACATTGATATGGGTATTATTTTAAACCTTGTTTTACTTATGTATGAATTTCTCACTGTCGTAGTAAAAAATACTCAAAAAACTTTAGTCAGGCCATAGATGGCTTTTGCAGGTCCCAACTTTAGCTGAAGTGTCACCAGCATGCTTAACCACATTTAACAGTGAGTTCCTGGGAAGGGGTTCTACATGTAACAGGGAGACACTGGCACCCCTGCCCCTGCTCCTGCCTGCCCTGAAGCACAGGATCTGCGTGGAAGAGAGGCAAGCAGCAGAGCGGTGACATGTACTCTGTGTGTGCAGGGGATGGCTGTGTTTGCAGTGAGTGTGTGTACTGCAAGTATCCTCTAGTTATGCATAGGTGTGTACATTTGTGTTCCATGTGACTGCGAACCTTCAATAAATAATAAATAAAATAGTTCAAAAATGGGGAGATGGCACAACGATCTTGAAAAAGCCCTGGCACCCACGCTACACAGAGCTGGGTTAGGATCCTGCTGTTTCCTACCTGGGTGAGAGTGTGATCTCATTCACTCCTTCTCTCCGCACATCAAATCCCTCCTCACTGAAACACAGACAGACTCATAGCTCCGCTCTCCGTGTGAAGCTGGGGACTGGGAGGGGTCTCAGGGGAAAGGTGCTTGGTCCACCAGGGCGGAGCATTCATTTTACATGAGGTGAAACTCAGCAAGCCCTGTGGGCCGGCCTGTGACAAAAGTCTGCCTCTGAATTCCCGTCAGGTGCACAACGACCCCCAGTGTGGCTCTGCGCCCTATGCCTGCTCCAGGTCTGTCAGTGTATTCATCACCGGTGAGCAGGAGATCCGTCTGGCCAAGGAGGTCACCCACGGAGGCGTGAGGTAACCGAGCCTTCCACTGTGAGCTGTCCTGCTCCCCGACACAGGACAGGGGACATCTGCCTTTCTCAAGCCTACAAGAAGCAATTTTCTGGGGGCAAATAGCATTTTCCACCATGAGGGTCAGCTGGGTTTCTGTCAGTGGAGTTGTCGGAAAGATGATTCCTGTGTGATTTTTCTGAAACTTTTCGATTCTGCAGGTTTCCAGATGGGAGATTTTAAAGAAAATGACAGAATTTTCTAGAAAGTTGAGAGTTGTCATTATAAATAGGTTTACGATTTTGCTTTCACAATTTGACCCAAAATCTTCCCAAATGTGCACTGAGCAAACGCTACACTCTGGGCCTTTTCTGATGCCACAGGGCTGTTGCAAATATGAGTTACCTTACTGGGCCTTCAGGGATACCTAGGGACCACTTGAGGGTTGAAGATTCTTTGCTTCCACACACTATCTAGCCCCAGACTGTGGCCCTTTCTGAAACCCTTCTCGCCTTCTATTTCTTCCCTGGCTCGCTGCTGTCACTACAGGTCCCTCCCAGAGGGGTCTCTCCTGCAGTAACTTCCACTATCCCCATCTTTTGCTACAAGTCCAGAAACTGGGTACCCAACCTCTTCGGGACTGAGAGGAAAAACATTGGTATTCATGTCTTTTAGTTTGTTAAATGCAACATTTGTTTCTCTTTCTTGATTTTTGGCTGAGACAAAGTTGCTAAATTCCAGATTGGCTAGCTAGGAGTTCTCATTCTAGGATGACTGGCAGAGTGGTGGAGAGGACTGGGCTCTGTGTCTTTCCCAGCACTCCCAGGTTTCCTCCTGTCTTGGATTCTCTTCCCACTCTATTCTTCGTCTCCACCAAAAAAAAAAAAAAAAAAAAAAAAAAAAGAGGTCTGCTCACATCTTCTCTCCTGTTGGGAGAAAGGAGCTAACAAAATCAGTCATTCTCAGATATCCTTGCCAAGGAAATTGCAATTTTTCAAACTCCACAGATAATAGAATCCCTGTCCAGGAATGTACTTATAGGCACTTGGGAATTCAGGAAATTTAGAGAAGGGAATGTGGACACCTCAGAGCCCTGGGTAGGAGGTGCATCGTTCTTTGGTGAAAGGACGGGGCCGTGAAGGACGCCCTGAAGCTCTGGGCTGTGTCTCGCAGGGTCCAGCTGCCACATGTGATGGCGAGTGTACATCTGCAGCAGCTAGCTGGCTACGTCATCCTGCGGCATCAGTCTGCTTTCACGCTGGCTTGGGACGGTGTCTCGGCTGTCTACATCAAGATGAGCCCGGAGCTCCTGGGCTGGACCCATGGGCTATGTGGGAATAATAATGCTGACCCCCAAGATGACCTGGTGACCAGACATGGTGAGACACAGGGGCAGAGATGTGAGGATGGTGGGGTGGGGACTGGGCCAGGTTGGAGGGGCCAGAGGGAGTTGTGAGAGAGTACTGGCGTCATGGTCATGGTGTTAACAACCCAATGGGAAGCCGGGGGTCTCTTTCTAACAAATGTATGGCCTTAGGCATGCTGTCAACTACTTGATTCCTCATTTGTAAAATAGTCATGATGAGAACCTCTGTTAGGGTTGACCACAGATCCGATGTGCACTTTCCCAGGAAGGATTGACACCACGAGGTAGTGAGGGCAGGGGCAAGTGAGCAGAGTGCCAGCAAAAGCCAGGAAGAAAAAAGGCCCAGCTGGAGCTGAAGGTCCCCAGAGATGAGTGGGAGGAAGTAAAAATGAAGGGCTCAGGGCCAGGTTGGATGATTCTGGCTGGAAGAAGGGAAATGATACTTGTCGAGCACCTGCAGGCTACTAAACACTTGACTGCTTCATCTCAAGTAGTCCTTGTAGTAATCTTTCAGGGCAGGGGTAGGGGGAGATTTTTGCTTTTCTGCATATGGGGAAACTAAGGCTAAGGGAGGTGTAGGAACTGTTTAGGCTCACACACTAGGTTCCTCTTGATTGCTCGGTGTTGCCTCCTCTGAGTATGTAGTATGAGTGTCCCTAAACACTCTTGACTCTTGTGAGCAAAGAGCATTTCCAGGTGAAAGGCTCAGCAAGGAAGCCCAGATTGGGATGGGAGCTCAGGAGGCTGCCTTCTTCAAAACTGTGTGCCTACCCCTGGCACCTACCTGCATTCAGAGCTCTCTGCCGCTCTCGTCGCCTCAAGCCTGTGATCACGCTAGTTTTCCCTTGCAGGGAAGCTGACAGATGATGTGACTGAGTTCATGCACAGCTGGCAAGAGCAGGCTCTCAATCACCCTCCAGGCACCATGGCTGCCTCCCCGCCTCGCCCACCATGCCTGCAACAGAGCTCCGGGAGCATGCAGGTCTGGCCCTGGCAGAATCCCCAACCCTAGTAGTTTCCCATATAATTCTTAGAAAGCTACTGGCTTCAGGGGCCAATGTGTTCGGTGCCCATGCCTCCTTCCCTTCCCTTTTCACCCTTTCTTCCTCCTCTGGCTCAGTTGGGGTTCCCTGTGGAGTTGGTTAGGTCAGAGGGCTGTGTAGGGGCTGCCAGCTCCCAGCCCTGGCGCCTGGCCCTTGCTCTACTCAGGGTGTGTACGAGCGCTGTGAGATCCTGCTGCGGTCCCCCTTTGATGCCTGCCATGCCTACGTCAGTCCTCTGCCCTTCACCGCCAGCTGTACCAGCGATCTCTGCCAGTGAGTGGGCAGCCAGGAGTCAGGGGTGTCGGGAGCCAGGAGTCAGGGGTGGTGAGCTGTGAGCTAGAAGCTGCTACTGAGTTGAGAGTTCGGCATGTGGGCCACTGAGCCTGATAATCCCAGGAAATGAGACCGCTCCTTCCCAGACTGCTGGGATTCTTCTCTGCCCAGAGGAGACAGAGCTTCCCCGTTCAGCTGAGGCCCGAAAGGCTTGATTCCTGAAGGTTCAGCAGCAAGTCAGTGGCAACATTCTGACCGGAATCCAGCTTTCGTGCCTTGAGCCCAGGATCTGTATACTTTAGGCACTTTCCCAGCTGAGGGCGAAGTGGGCTGTGTGGAAGCACTGGCCGTCTCTATGGGATACCGGGGGACTGGTGGCAGTCTAGGCCCTCCTTCAATGTGGCTGGCTCTTGGTTTCCTCACACAGATCAGGGGGTGATGAAACCACCTGGTGCCGGGCCCTGGCAGAGTATGCCCGGGCATGTGCCCAGGCCGGGCGGCCCCTACAGGGCTGGAGGACCCAGCTTCGACAATGCAGTAAGTACAGGCTGGAGTGGCTGGGAGGGCTTCTGACAAGCCCTCATATGGGCTGAGTGGCATCCTCAGGCCTCAGCTTGATACCCTGTTCTACTCAGAACCATAGCCATCAGCACTTTACACCTGAGGTTCCATCTGCATGTGACAGATGGAGTAACTGAGGCTCAGAGTGGAAGGGACCAGCCTGGGACCACAGAGTGAGATGAGGGTGGTTGTCAGACCTTCTCAGCCCTTGCTAATTTCCTAGGCATCAAGGATTTACTCTGGGACAAGGGATGGGGAATGTCAAAGCCCTCCCACTCTCATCCCAGGGCCTGGGGTGCAGGTGCATTCTGGTAGAATCACTGACCAAAGGCTCCTTCTCTCTCAAGCTGTGCACTGTGAAGAGGAGGCCTTTACCTACAATGAGTGCATTGCCTGCTGCCCTGCTTCCTGCCAGTCCCGGGCCTCCTGTGTAGACAGCGAGATCGCCTGTGTGGACGGCTGTTATTGCTCCAACGGTATGCAGGGGTAGGAGTGGGGGCCTGGCACAGGCAGGCATGAAGCAGGGCCTCAGAGGATGCCTGTTTGTGGAATGAATGAAGCCAGGAACAGGGTGCAAAGGTGGGGGTGGAACTATGGCACATTGTAGTGATGCTGATGGGTGGTTGATTTCCCTGGGACTGAGCTTTGTAAGGCAGGTAGATGAGGATGTACCATGCATTCATTTCTGTACACCCCTGTGTATAAACATTTATCCACATACAACTCTTTATCCTGTTTTTCACAATGTGTAAATTTGCCACACACCTGTGGTGTGTGATTCACCATAGGCATCGACCTCAGGAAGAAGCGTCTGGTTCCAGGGCTAACACACACTGAGTGCACCCTGAGATATGACAGTGTAAAGAAGAGGCATAGGGAAGAGGTGGGAGGGGAGGTCTCCTGGGAGGAGGGACACCCAAGCCACTTCCAGACACACCACAGGCTTTGGAGGAGAAACTTGTGAGTGTTCAGGTGGGAGTGGGCCTCTGAGCCAAGGTCTGCCAGTGGGGTAATTACCAAAAAGGGGTTCAGTTTAGAAGAGAGAGTTTGAAAGTGGGCTCAGAAGTGAGAGAACTTGCATAAGGGGATCTTTCTCATTGGCAATGAGAAATCATGGACAGCTTATGAACAGGGTGGGAGGTGAGTTAAGTGGACCTTTGCCATCACCCTAGGGCTGATCTTTGAGGACGGGCACTGTGTGGCAGCAGCTGAATGTCCCTGTGAGTTCCATGGGACCCTGCACCCACCTGGCTCTGTGGTGAAGGAAGACTGCAATACCTGGTTTGTGTCACTGCCTGGGGTGGGGGTGGCAATGGTTGTAGTGGCTGAGGCATCCCCTCAGGCTGCCCACCCTGAGTCAAGAACCCTGTCACGTGGGACACTCACTCAGGTCCCTGTCACAGGCGGTTGCATTAGACCCATTCCTTCGGGGGCTCTCCAATATGGTAGCTAGGTCAGGCCTGGGGCTGAGCCTTGCTCTGATCTCTGTTTCAGCACCTGTACTGCAGGCAAGTGGGTGTGCAGCACGGCTGTCTGCCCAGGTACGTCTGCCCTTCAGTTTGCCTCTGCCTCCCCCACCGGCTGATTTCACAGGTTTGGGGGCAGAGAGGCTCTGGGAGCCAGGCCTGCTGGGTGGGACACTCAGTTCCCTGGCTAAGCCTGCATCTTCTTTACATCCTCAGAGCTACTGTGCCTAAGGGGTTGCTCCAAATGTGACCCTGGAGGTCTGGGGCCCTTCCTGAGCTTGGAGGACCCCGGGGGCCTGGTGTCCCTTCAGAGGCAGGGCTGTGTCCATCATTGGAGGTCTCCAGGGCCAGCCCTCTAGGAAAAGGCTCTTACCCTGCCCTGGTTCTGGAGGATAAGGTGCTGGGCCTCCTCCCACTGGAGTCTGCAGGGTGCAGATTGTCGTGGTGGGGCAGCTCCTGTGGGGTAGCGGCCTTTCTCTGTCCCTCAGCCGAGTGCTCAGTGACTGGTGACATCCACTTCACGACCTTCGACGGCCGCCGGTACACTTTCCCTGCCACGTGTCAGTACATCCTGGCCAAGAGCCGCTCCTCGGGCACCTTCACAGTGACACTGCAGAATGCCCTGTGTGGTCTGGTAAGGATGGAGACCCCAGGTCTAAATCAGTCCTAGAAGGACCAGGGTTTAGGGGGAAGCGACTGGTCTTTGAATGTCCAGCTACCTGCAGCCTCTTTTGTCTGCACAGGACTGGGTCAGGAGCCTGGGTTTTGGACCCTTCCTTTCTACTGGCTGAATCACTTCCCTTGCCTGGGCCTCAAGGCTTTAAATAAATCCTAAAATGGGTCTAATTCTACTTCCTTTTCTATGCTTTGTTGAATTGGGCTTTTAACATCTTTGCATTCATTCATTCATCAAGCACTGACGCCTGTTGGTGCCAGAGCTGCACAATGTCTTGGAGGCTGGGATGAGTTACACAGGGTTTGGCTGTCTTGGGCCTTACAGTCTGGAGGGAAGGCAGATGTGAAACCTGAATCTACTGTGTTATAGTTAGGTCTCGATGGAGGAATTTCTTACTGTTTTCCTTTCACTTGGGCATTGAGTGGCAGGGGGTGAAGTATATTGGGATAGCCTTCCCAGAGGAGGTGACCCCTGAGCTGTGTCAGCTACCTGTGAGCATCACTGAGAAAATGGCCAATGGGAAGCTTTGGGGTAGGTGTGGGGTTGCTCATCTCTCTGTGGTGACTGCATTGTCCCTGGGTAAACTGTGGAGTCAACCCCACAAGCCCTGGTCTTCATTACAGAGCAGGGGCTTATACCCGCAACAAGGGCAGGCACCCCATCCTCTTCTGGTGACCTCTTTCCAGCTTCCAGCCCCAAGGGCGCTACTCCCAAGCAGGTGTCCACTAGACCTGCCCTCCCTGGCCCTGGAAACCCAGACTGGACTGGGGGGAGGGCGAGGTGAAACCTGCGTTTCCTCTTCTCGTGGCTCAACTGCCACTGCCTTTCTCACTAGAGAACACCCTGGCTCACCCTTGCCCTAGCTCTGCTGTAGAGACTGTTTGTCCTCAAAGGTGGGGACGCTTCTGTCACATCCTGAGGGCAGGCAGACAGACACAGCCCAGCCGGGTCACTCCCCCTCCCCAAACTCTAGATTTCCAATCCCCAATGGCTCTTGAGCCCCTGGACCTGTGGCCACCACCTGGCTGCTGGCTAGCACCTCCTTGTGACCTCACCCACATGATGGACCCGTGGAGGCTGGCCCCGTCCCAGCTCTGTGCTGGGCACTGTGAGGCCTGCATAGGAAGATCAGCCTTTAACCCCTAGCCTGGAGGGCAGGTCACTTGTGTCCTCAACTCACCCCAGGATTACATGGATAGTTGTGCTGTGGAGGAAGAAAGAGTCCTGAATATTACAAGAAAAGGCAGAATTATTTTAGACCCTCTCCGCTGGAAAACAGGAGAAATATATGTATAACCTACATATTATGTGCTAGTAAAAATTTTTTTAAATGTTTATGTAATACTTTACAAGTTGCATTTGTCAAAGCCCATAGACCTTAGAACATAAGAACTTAGCTCATAGGATCCAAGATTAATGCTCAAACTTTGTGCTGTGAAGTTCTACCAGCTTTCACATCAGTGTATGTGCATATATATCCATGAGCCTTTATGTTGTGCTCTGTCTGTATGTATGCTAAACCTAAATCCATACTGACATTTCAACTCCACGCCATTGATGACAGTAGGCATCATCCTAACCCTTTTCCTTGCTTATCTATAAATGGTTACTCCAACAGTGAAAGACCTAACTTCCACCATTCACCATCCATTTATCTAATTGTTAATTCTAGTGTGCATGTACGGGAGTAATAGAATGGTGTAACTTATACCTCCATGGGAAATTACTTTACCAACTAAATTGCTTTATAAACTAGAGTATAAGGCTTATGCACAGTTTCTTTTGCCTTTGATCTTACAAACTTAATTCCAAAAATACTTGGGCAACTTCTTGTCCTGTCCTCTTCAGCGAGGTTGTAATAGTTAGATTCTTTAGTCATGGTCTGCTTCCATCCTTCAGTACCTCCCCCTCCAATCTCCTATATGTTTTTGAAAAATTTGAAGAGATTAGTGTTTACTCTTCATGCTGTAAAGTTCTATGGGCTTTGCCAAATGCAACTTCCATAGTATTACATGCACATTTTCTTCTTTTTAGAAAACATATACATATTTTAAAAATCCATACCCAGCCAAGTAGGACTGGCCAATTATTTGTATTTCTATTTTGAGGTATGGAAAAATTCAGTGACTCTTTAAAGGTCTCATTGCTTTCAATGACATCAGGGCTTCAATATGGGACTTTTACTAAAGAGTTTGGACTGTTTCCTTGTATCATCAGCATGTCCAAAGGGGACCAGAGGGCAAGCGGATGGGGTGAAGAAGGAGATGTTTTGGACACAACTTGCAACTGTTTCGGAGACTTCCTGTCTTTCTGGGCAGGAACCCGGAGAGAGGTTGTCACTTGTGCAATGCTTTTCTGAAACTTCCAAGCCCTAATGATTCCTTGTTTCACTGACTTTGTGTTGCTCTCCTGTATTCCACTGGATTTAGGATAAATCCCCAAAATATTACAAAGTTCTACCTAAGCTGGCCTTGCCTGTATTTTTTGTACTGGAAATCTAACTTATGACCTCACACTTGCCAGGCAGGTGCTGTGCTGCTGAGGTATATGCCCGGCGACGCTGCCTGTATCTTGAACCTTCTCTTAATTCATTTTACTCAGTGGACTCTGGGCCTTCTGGTCTTTTTTATGTTCTTGAATGCATTAAATGCTTTCCTATGTTGGGGCTTTCAGAAGGTTGTTCTCTTGATCTGAATATCTCCCTCTTCCCCTGCTCTTTGCTCATTCAGGATCTATTTAGCTACAGATCTAAGCTTAAATGTTACTTTTTGTGCCTCAGTTTTCCCATTCACAAAGGAGTCTCACTTTGTAGTTCAGGCTGGTGTGGATTCACTATGTAGCCCAGGCTGGCCTTGAATTTGGGGGGTTCTCCTGCCTCAGCCTCCCGAGTGCTAAGATTATAGGTGTGTAGCCCCACACCTGGCTCAAAATGGTGTTGTTAATAGTACTGACTAGATCAGAGTGCTGTAAGGATTAAATGAATAAATTAGAACAGCATCTGAACACAGTAACCCCATTTTAAAGTTGATACTAATGTTTTTATTGTTTGGAGTATTTTACATTGCTATCATCATTTCCTAGGATGATCTTTCCTACCTCTGAAGACTGGTTCCTTCCCGTTTTTCTAGCACCCGCTCCCCCTGTGTCACAATCACAATCGTAATTAAATAACCAACTAGCTACTTATTTAATGCCTGTGTCTCACATGAAGTCCAGTGTTTGCTTTTGTTAGTGTTATCCCAGATCTGCTATTAACTTTTCTCAATCTCAGCTTCTGTCTGATTACTCTCCAGATGGGGGCATTTGGTTGGATAACTCCTGATATCCTTTGGGGATCTGTCTGTCTCTCTGTAGATAGCCTGTCCCTCAACCTGGACTGAGTCCCTGTCCTTGGAGGACTCTATTGAGGCCAGAAGGACAGACTGACTAGCTTTGGTCCACTGGTCCTTCTTTCTTTTCAGAACCAAGATGGAGCCTGTGTCCAGTCAGTATCTGTGATTCTGCACCAGGACCCTCGGAGGCAGGTCACCTTGACCCAGGCAGGGGACATCCTCCTGTTTGACCAATACAAGATCACCCCACCCTACACAGATGGTATGGCTCAAGATGCTCATGAGAGCTATATAGGCGCTGGCTGTTCAGGCCTCTTTTCTGTCTCCTCTGACCAAAAGAACTGCTACATGTGCAAGAACTTATACTGTAGTGGTGAGGTGGGTCTGACTATAGGACAGTTTGGTTCCAGGAATATGGATTCCTAGAATGTTTTGTTGTCCACATCCCGATACTACAGAGTTCTCAGCAGTATGACAGTTTCTTTTAGGATGAGCCCTTGGATAGACTGTTTCTCTTCCCTGTACTCAGTGTTTGATTATTATCCCCCCTGGTTCCACAAGGGACTAATGGGACTAATGATAAGAAACACATTTCACAGCAAAGACAAAGCTATTAAGATGTAAAATCCAGAACAAAGGAGAATTTTTAAGAAGTCTACCCAAAAAAGAATACGTCTCATGAGAAGAGTAGGAATGAATTAGGTTTAAAACCACCCAGGAAATGGAAGCCATAAAAAATATGAAATCTGTTACAATTGGCTCTAAAATTTAAATTTGCTGCAGTTAAGTGTGTATTTGTATAGTTGCTTTCTTGTGGCCATTTTGAAGCACCGTTACATAATTCTCCTCATGCTAGAGAAGGAAACAAGGCGATTCCTTAGGGAGAGCAAAGCTGGAACTGCTGACACTTGTTAAATTTCTCAGCCCAGGCTGGTGGTAGGTTGCCCCTGGGTCCTGATTTTATCACTGAACAGGGGTTTCCTCAAGATGTCACAAACTGAGCCTGTGGCAGGGTTTCACTGGTTGTGGGCATTGGCCACGCTGGCGGTGGGGGCTGGTAGGGGGTCACGGTGTTTACTGGCTGAACTTTCTCTTTCCGGTTCCATGCACAGATGCCTTTGAGATTCAGAGGCTGTCCTCTGTGTTCCTGCGGGTAAAGACCAACGTGGGTGTACGGGTGCTCTACGACAGAGAAGGGTTGAGGCTCTACCTACAGGTGGACCAGCGATGGGTAGAGGACACCGTGGGCCTCTGTGGCACCTTCAATGGCAACACGCAGGATGACTTCCTGTACGTACCCTTGACCCGGAACTGGGTGGTGGGGGATGAGCCTCTTATGGTCCATTATCCAGAGGCACTGCCTGAAAATGTTTGCTATGGGCCCACACTGTGCCTGACATGTATCTTTAATTATTTAGTCCTCTACATTTAAATTGAAGTGTTTCTTTAAAGCTCTAGTTCAGTCTTCTGCACGCAGAAGAATTACTTGGGTTGCTTGATTAAATGAATCTAATACAAGGTAGAGCCCAAGAATCTAATTTTTATGAGTACTACCATGATTCCAGTACATGAGGTCTGTAGACTACACGTTGAGAAATACTATTTATTATGAGATTTTAAAATGAGGGGGCATCAAGTTGAGTTTCATTTGACTCATGGTTTTGACTGTGAGCACTTTTAGGTGAATGCAAGTCCCCAGAGAGCCAAGGACACCAACATTCCCACTTTGTACCTAGCAGGCCTGTGTAACATATACTTTTCCTAACTGGTGCTTGAAACCATTTATGTTTGCAACCTGTGATACTCCCCTCCTCAGTGTTCAAGGAAGCTTGTTTCCAATCAGCTGGCAGAGTTGAGAGACTCTTTGGGCATGGCCATAGTTTAAAAATTTGGGAGTATATAGAGGTCAGGCCTTCCAGAAAAGAGAGCAAAAGAGTGATCTTGAGGTTTGAGGTTCTGACCAGTCTTTCAAGTTTCATGCATTGGGCATACAAGAAAAATTCTTTAACCAGAAATAAGAATTTGCTGTGAAAATCAAGAACAAGAAAGCACAGAGAACTTTTTAATACCTGTGCATTTACAGGTGAGGCTTCAACTCTCTGACTTGTTGGCAAGAGCTCATGATAGAACAGCTGTCCAGAGTGTGAGGGCAGACCTTGGTTTAATGTGGTATTGCTCTTTATAACATAACGGAAGGGACCTTACTGGATCCATAATATGAACACAGTGGGTTGTGGGCACCACTCTGCCTCTCTAGGGTTTGGTCACTCTTGAAGATAAGTCATGTCCAGGAATCATCTTTGTCCCCCTTCTCTCTTCATTGCCAAAGAAAGTGCTGGGGAGTCTTCGGGGAGGGAATGGGACAAAGCCAGAGCCTGGTGAAGTTTTATGTTCTTTATGAGGTCTCTTTTTCTGATATGAAGATCACTGAACATATACAGTCCTAGGCCATTTTAAGCATTTGGGAACTGTGAATTGTGATTTGTGTATGTGTACATCCACAATTCTTTGTGTTTGAATGTGGCCGTGTAGGCTACCTGAGTATTAGCAGGTCTGGAATATATTTATGCTTTGTGTGTGTGTGTGTGTGTGTGTGTGTGTGTGTGTGTGTGTGTGTATGCATGTATGTGTGGCAGGAGTGTGTGCGAGTGGTGTGTTAGGGCTCATATGGGTGTATGCACATGTGCCTTGAGGGGTGCTCATGCCTAGTCTGTGACTGTGTGTGTGTTTATAGGAGAAAGTGAATGCATACCTGGGTGGTGTTCTAGGTGTTTCCTGAGTCCACATGAGCGAGTATAAGAATATGACTATGTCATGGCTGCAGGTCCCCAGTGGGTGTACCCGAGAGCACCCCACAACTCTTTGGCAATTCTTGGAAAACACTGTCTGCCTGCTCCCCACTGGTCCCAGGCTCCCCACTGGACCCCTGTGATGTGCACCTGCAAGCTGGTGAGGTGGGGGGCAGGAGGCACCCGGGAGAGGGTGGGACCAGACTGCTTTGAGAGATAATAAGGGAATTCTGGGCATGAGGATGCTGGCCAAATTTATAGGAATGGCACGACAAGGGGGAGCCATGGGGAAGGGTCAAGAGAGAGGTGAGGGCCAGGCAGAGGGGAAGCTTCATGTTCTACCAGTCAAGTGCGTTCACCTTTCTACAGGACCCTTCAGCTCAAGGCAAATGCCAAAGTCCCCTCCACACTGCCCTCTGCTTTGCTCTGGTGACACTGACTTTCTTGCTGTCCTTGCTGCACAGCCAGGTCGCTGTCGTCCCAGGCCTCTGCACTCGCAGCGGCTTCCTTCCACAGAGCTGCTCCCATGGAGAGACACAGGCCTCAGCTCCTGCAAACGTTTGCTCACATGCCACTTTCTCACTGAGGTCTTCCTGGCCACCTGAGTGAAAATGGCAATTGCCTGTCCTACCCCACCTCACACTCTCTATCCTCCTTCCTACCTTTCTCTCACTCCTTAGATTCCTCGCTTTGATATTTACTAAATTTAGTGTATAAATATTTCCTGATTGTCTCCTGATGAGCATGTAAGCTCTCTGAGATCAGGGCTTTTTGTGGGTTGTATTTTCTACTGTGTCTCTCTCTTATCAGGTAGATTCACATCTGGCACAAGGTAGTATCATTACAAGAATGTACACACACACACACACACACACACACACACACACACACACAGCACAGTCCTTGAGCGATGGGGAGGGAAGGACAGAGGCTGGGAATGCCAGAGCCTGACCTGGCCCGGTCTTCCTGTGTTAGCCTCCTATGCAGTGCAGGCCTGTAGTGTGCTCACGGGGGAGCTCTTTGCACCTTGTTCCGCTTACTTGAGTCCTGTGCCTTACTTTGAGCAATGCCGCCGGGACACCTGTCGCTGCGGGCAGCCCTGCCTGTGTGCCACGTTGGCCCACTATGCCCACCTGTGCCGGCGCCATGGACTCCCAGTTGACTTCCGCGCTCGCCTGCCAGCCTGCAGTGAGTACCCGCTGTGTGCACCATGGAAGGGGGGCTCTAGGAGCCTAGGCTTTGGATCTGGTGACCACTGCCCTCTTTGGGATGCTCCCTCAGACTCTTCCATCCAGACTGCCCCTCACGGCCAGCTCCTCCTCTTGTACTCCCACCTCTGCCTATGGCCCCTGTCGTTTGTCACCTTCAGGACTCCTCTTACCCTCATCGTAGTCCATCTGCAGACCTGTCAGTCCAGCCACTTCCAAATCCAGCTTGTCTGGTAGTGGGGCCAGATGTCAGATTCTTTTTTTTTTTTTTTTGGTACTGGAGATGGAACTCATGACCTTGTGCTTGCCAAGCAGGTGCTTGTGCTGCTGAGCTAATCCTCTGACCCCCGATATCAGATTTCAGGGCTCCCCAGGAGGCTTTGATGCACAGTTTGGGTTGAGAACTACAGGCCCTCACCCTGTGGGAGGCACTGGACTTGGATGTTCTAGTGTAGTGAGAGTGGAGGACTCTGGAGCCAGACCTGGGTTCAGATCCCCTTGACCTTGTATGGCATGACCTTGGGCAAGTGTTTTGATTTCTTTGGTTCTTAGTTCTCCTCATCAGAGTGACAGCCCACCCCACAGTGTGAGGATGAGAGAAATATCCCCCTTCCCACTTGCAGCACTGTCCTGTGAGGCCACCAAAGAGTACAGCCCCTGTGTGGCCCTGTGTGGGCAAACCTGCCGGGACCTGGCCAGCCCTGAGGCCTGTGAGGTTGATGGCGGTGGTGACTTCAGCAGGGATGAGTGTGTGGAGGGCTGTGCCTGCCCCCCAGGCACCTATCTGGACACCCAACCTGACCTCTGTGTCCCCAGGTGAGTGGGCCAGCTTGACCTTTGATCAGGTGAGTAGATGAGGCCAGGAGTCTCCAGGGGCTCTGAGACTGGGGTGTGGATCGAGCCCATGTCCCTGCTGCATGTCACAGTTGTAGGCCACATCTCAGTGGGTAAGTTGAGTTGGTAATCCTCTTCTGGGCCTCCCTCCCAGGTCTGTTCTTGGCTCTGGCTCTTCAGTCCACTCCAGGTGGCTTCTTCACAAAACAGAGCAATCTGCAGAGCTAAGAGGGGCTCTCTTTCCTCAATTCTTCTCCAATTCTACAAATATTTATTTATACCCTAGTAGGCTTCACCCATTTCTAGAGAGTCCTGCCCTCATGGACTCACAAGGAAGCAAGGCAGACATGTTAAAAACACATGGCGGGGGGCGGGGACTGAGGATTTAGCGCAGCAGCATAAGCGCCTGCCTTGCAAGCAGGCAGTCGTGGGTTCGATCCCCGTGGGTTCGATCCCCGTGGGTTCGATCCCCAGTACCGATAAAAAGGAAAAAGACAAAAAAAAAAAAAAAAAAAAAAAAACAAAAAAAAAACCACATCAGGAAGGGGCTGGGTGGTAACAAGAGCTTCTGTGAAGCCAGATAAGTGGAGTGAGGACAGGAAGTCCTGTACTGTTCTGCACATGAGATGAGCCAGGAATGGGGCCCATCTGTGGAGATGACAGCTGAGCAGGAACCTGGACAAGAGAAGAGGGATCCAGGCTGAGGGGACAGACTAAAGCCAACTGGAGTTTTCAGCTGGAGAGCAGATTGGGAAGAGAGGGTAGACAGTGACCCCACATGGTCCCAGGGCAAATGACAATATTTTAACCTCAGTTTCACCATCTGGAAAATGGCACACTGATTGGTGGTTTTCCAGTGATCGAGGGCCTGGAGGAGGTGCTTCTGTGGAACAAATAAGAATCACTCAGAATCTTTTTTTTTAAAAGCTTTTATAAAAGCACCCATTCATAAGATCCTGCTCTGTGCTCCATCCAGATGTGCAGTCCATCCTTTCTGATGACCTGTGGCCAACAAAAGAGGTCTCTGTGGTCCTGTAGGAGACAGAGAAGGTAGACGAGAAGTACTGGGTTTGGATGAGCTCAAGGGTCCCTTCCAGGCCTGACCTGCTCTACTCCGAGAACTACCTGCACCCAGAATAGGCAGGTGCTCTAGAGCTGTGTGATGAGGAGACCTGGCCTTTGCCTCAGATAAATCAAGGAAGATTCAAGAGACAGCCTAAGAACCCCTGCCTCCAGGATCCCTAGGGGGAGTTGAAGAGATAATATCTATGAGGGCCTAGCTAAGTGTCCCCACCAAATGTCAAACATTTCATGATCGTTACGGCACAAGGTGTGACCAGGCAGAACGGTGTGTGTGGGTGACCAGTGCCACTGCACCAGGACACCACATCAGCAGAATTCCTGCACACTGTGACATGGCTTGGGGTCCAGAAGTGAAGTCCTGTTCTTATCACCTCTCCTGTCTTCTGACCAATGGGGTTGGCTTTGTGAGGTAGTGGACACCAACGAGGCTGTCCTTGTCTAAGCCCAGTGATGGCCCTGACTCTGAGACCCAGTCCTGACCTCCATGCCTCGTGTCAGGCTGGCTTCCCTACTTCCAGGTTACATGTCACAGTAGGTACCACTTTTCTCTGTGTGCCATTGTGTCCCTGGCTGGCTGAGGATGAGCTCTCTGTCCTTGGTGGTCTCTGTTCAAGTTCCAAATCTGCTTACTTTTCCCTCTTTCTGGTTTTTATAGGAACCAGTGCTCCTGTCACTTTCAAGGAATGGACTATCCCCCTGGGGACAGTGACATCCCATCGCTGGGCCACTGGTGAGCTACCTGGGCACCAATGGAAGCTGCTGAGTGCAGATAATATAGCTGAGTGCAACTTTCTACAAAGCACACCCACCTCCCTGTCCCCATCATGCAGGGAGTGGAAGGCAGTCAGTGGGGTTGCATGGGAACCTTACAGTGACCTGAGTGTGGTGACATGGGCTGCACAGGTCCTGCAGTGAGTGGGTCATTTAACCTCAGTGTCCCCTCTTCTTCAGCCACTGCAAAGATGGAGTCATGAGCTGTGACAGCAGAGCTCCAGGTAAGGGTCACCGGGGCTGCCATGGAAAGGCTGGGAAGGGGCTGGAGCACCCATCAGGATGGGGAGAGCCCACCCGGCTCTTGCCCTATCTCAGGTCTTTTGTATTCCTTGCTCTCTGGGTGGAGGGTGGTGTCTGGAAACCCTGTCCCAACCTCAGTCACGCTCTGGACATCTGGGGAGTCAGGACAATGTCTTTCTTAGCCTCCTCTGGGTCCTGGATTTTCTCAGTGTGAATATTAAATGTCTACTGAAGCCAACAGAAGCCAGCCCAGGGGTGAGTCAGCCTGTGGAGTGCTTGGAGGTTGGGTGGAGCACTGGTGTTGCTTCACTCCAGAAGGGGCTCCTGCTGCTGAGGACTCCACTAAGCATGGGGATTAGCACAGGGAGAATTGGGGAATAATCAGCCAGATGGTAAAGAAAAAGAGATTTGAGGTCCGAACAGTATGAGTTCAAATCCTGTTGAGCCCTCACTGGCTGTGCAAATCTTGGGTAACTCACTTTACCTCTTTGAACCTCCATATATATCTCTTTTGTAGATAAGCGAGGTTTCTACATCTTTGTCTGTATTTTGTATGTATTCCTGAATGTGTTTTTCTTTTGGTCACTTTGGCTTTGGATTTTAGCTTCTTGGGGACATGGTTGTTCTTTTCTCTCCGTCCCCTCCCAGCCTGGGCATAGATTTTAGCTGCTTTTTATTATTTCCTCTGGGGTCCTTCTTCTTACTCCATGACACTTTTGAAATCAGAAGTGCCTTTGCTTCATTGTATGGGAAGTGATGGAGACATAATCAACTCCACAGAATAGTTTCAGGATTAAGTGAGATAGTACACAGATGCATCTGGAGGGTGTGGAGGACATTTTCAGTAATGGGTCCTGGTTGTCCATCCTTCCCCTTGTGACACTTGTATAGGAACCCATGTAATGCTCCAGGAGTGGCTCACCTCTCCTTGTCTCTTCCAGGGCCCCCTGGTCACTCCGGCAGCATAAACCCAGGCTCAGGGCTACAACACCCTCCTCTTTTCTTCCAGGGGCAGCCTGCCCTGTGGGCCAGGTATTCGTGAACTGCAGTGACCTGCATACAGATCCCGAGCTGAGCAGGGAGAGGACGTGTGAGCAGCAGCTGCTGAACCTGAGTGTGACAGCCCGAAGCCCCTGCCTGTCAGGGTGTGCCTGTCCCCAAGGGTATGCCCATGTGGTCCTGGTTTCTCCCACCTGAAGGCTGGTGGACCACAGGAGAAAGAGATTGCAGGGAGGGGCTGGCTCAGGGCAGCCATGATGCCAGTGGGAAGCCTGGGAAAGAGCAGAAGCTTGGGGACCCAACTGGGAGGGATTCTGTCTGCCTCTGTCTGTTCTTCCCTGGTGACCTTGAATGAGGAAGGCACCAAGGCTCTGAGAGACTTAGTTTTTCACTTGGAAGATGGAAATAATCATGATGCCTACACCTTACCAAGAGGATTAAGTGAGATTCCAGAGTGGGAACATGGACCTGGGAGTCTCTCCATAGAGATCAAATGAGTTAAAGACCTTGCAAGAGAAGCCCATATTTTGATCCCCCTCATCTTCCTCTGCACAGCTCTGAGCAGATCCCTTAAGTAAAGGACTAGTGCCTCTGAACACTCAAGAAAGAAAAGCTCTACCCAGTTAAAAGAGTCTCTCTACCAAACCCTCAAAACACTGCCATCTGCACCACAGTAGAGCTCCAGGAGTTAGGTCTCGGGCTGTGCTTTCCCTGTGCTCTCTGTACACAGGAGGCTGGGGGCTCACACTCAGCTCTGCCAATCAGCACTCATTTCCAGGTTTGGACCAAAGGGACTCCTGAGGATCCCAAGCCTTGGCAGCATCAGACTGTGCCCTTCAGCCTGACGTAGAGACTGGTGGTCAGCTGGTAGTCCTGGCGTAGGCCTAGCAGCCAGGGAAAATGAGGAGAGGCTCAGGACTTCTTCGATGGGAAGGAGAGGGGACAGAGTTTTGCTGTTGTTGGACACTTTGACGTCGTTCCCTTCTTAATCTTAGAGCAACTCTGGGAGAGAAGAGGGGCAGATCCCTATTCTCATTTTACAGAGGAAGAGACAGAGCAGGGGAGGACAGAGGGTGGTGGTCCGGGGGACCATGACTCCTTATTCCAAAACCTGTCCTTTGCCCAGGGGAGACCGGTCTTGTAAGGTCTAGGGTCTGTAAGGTTTCTCTACACAGAGGCCACGTGTGGGCATCCACAGTAAACCTGCATACGGTCCCAGGCCTGACCTCCTGCTGCCACACAGGCCCCAAACCTTTGTCAAAGGCCTTTTGGAGGCAGCATCCCACATGTGCAAGCTCTCCTCAGACTGAGGTCAGAAAAAGCCAGGGCTCTGGGGTCAAGAACATGGTGACAGGGAGGAAACCAGGGAGGAAAAGGCGTGAAAAAACCAAATCAGATACTTAGATCTCAGATGCACTAAAGAGGGGGGGAGTGTGACACATGCAGACAGGCCAAGTGATCTTCCCAGCTTGGTTCCCAGAATGGTGGCCTGGAGTCTTTTGCCTCTCGAGACTGGCCCCTATGCAGGCCCCTTGGTTCTGCCCATTTGAGCCATGTCAAATGCCCTCTAAGGACCCTGAACACTTTCCACACAGGCTCAGCAAAGGGAAATTGTCACAGATTCCATTAGCGAGGGAAGGGCTAATTTCCCATGGCCCTGAAATGTCCCCTTGCTAGAACAGACTCCCAAAGATGCCTTGTAACATCCCCACTAACTCCAGCTGGGGACCAGACTCTGGACCCTCAATCCTTGGGTGCTGTTCATTGCTCCAAAGAACACTGGGATCATTGCAACTGTTGGGGCTGTCTATGCCACTCCACATTTCTTTGCAACTGGGTGGTGGCTCTTGAGCCACAAGGCCATGAAGCACAGTGGTTATGAGCACAGACGCAGAAGTCAGGCCTCAGTGGAGTTTCCATCCCCTCTTGTGTACGAGGCACACAGTAAACACTCTTTGTGGGCAGACAGCTTTGTTCTTTCTTCAACTGGATCCCATGCACTTGCAAACGTACACTCTGAGGGGACCCTGGAAGGAGTAGTCCCCTAAAATGGTAAAGGAGAGGATACTTTACAAACCAAGAGCAAATGAAGGAAGTGGCTTCAGTCTCAAATCTTTCCCATGCTTCCCTGTGGTGGGTACACAGTAGATCTGTTGAGGACCAGGAGTGAGTGGTAGGTGACGGGTGACAGGTGACACCACAGAAGGTGGCTAGAGTCAGGGTTAAGGCTGTGAGCCAGCCTGTTATTGGTGTCTGACTCAATTGTAGGGGAAAGAGAGGTAAGAGACCTTATTGTGTATCTACTTGGTTTTAGGCACTGTGCCCAGGTCGATAGTTATAATTAGATGCTCAAAATGACCTTGGGAGGAAGACTCCTTTATCCACTTTTTATGGATGTGGATAAACAGGATTACACAAGTTAATTGGCCTCAGATAATATATAATGGATTAAACACATGCTAGCAGTGAAATTAAAATGTACAAATGCTCCTGGACTAACAGAAAGGAGTAGGGCTGGCAGTGGCACAGGATGGGACAGTACCTTTTAAAGAGCCACTCCGACCTTGCAGAGCAGAGACTGGCAGCTTGCAGAGAGAAGGTGAGGGAGAAATAGGCCACTGTGATGTACCTCAGGGGCCGCTGCTGAGGTGCTGAGGAGCGGGTGCTAGGAAGGGGAAAGACAGGCAGAAGGGTTGAAAGTTTGTGCAAGGAGGAGCTAAACTTTCAGATTCCTTCCTGAATCCAGTGGAGACACTTTACTAGCCCATCTGACAGGAGAAAGGCGGGAGGAAACCAAGTCGGACACTTGGATCACAGAGGCACTAAAGGAGGGGATGACGCAGTGCAGGCAGGCTAAGCACTCTCCCCTGGCTTGGTTCCCAGGGTGGTGGCCTGGAGACTTTTGCCTCCTAGTCTAGAGAGGAAAAGAGATTTTTTCTCTTAAAAACTGGATTGGGCCAAGAGACAAACCAAACCTGACATTTTGGATTTTCCAAAGGAAACAGTGGGTTTAGGTCAGTATCACACTGCTTTGATTTCTGAAGCTTTATAGTTAGCCTTGAAATCGAAGTGTCAGGGATGCAACTTTGATCATATGAAAGTTGCTTGACCTTTCAAATTTCCATGTAGATTCAGAATCAGCTTGTCAGGTTTTCTTCCTTCCTTCCCCTCTTCTATCTTTCATTCCTTTTTTGTAGTGCTGAGGGCTGAATCCACACACAGCCTTTCCACTGAATATATTACCTGCCTTTTAATTAATTAGTTAGCTAATTAATTTACAGACAAGGTCTCACTAAGTCACTAAATTACCCAGGCCAGGCTTGGACCTGTAATCCTCCTGCCTCAACCTCCGAAGTGCTGGGATTATAGGCATGTGCTACCACACTTGGCTTTAGTTGACATTATAAATATTTTTTATTAATTTTCTTTTTGTTCGCTGTGAGAATATAGACATACAATTTACTTTTGTATATTGGTAAATTGTAATTATGTATACTGGTATACTGTAATTTCGTATACTGGTATTCTGTAATTATGCAAATTTAGTTGCTTAGTTCTAATGGCTTTCTGTAGATTCCTTAGGATTTCAGTGTATGATCATGTTATCTGGAATAAAAACCATTTTCTTCTTTATAATCTTTACACTTTTTTCCCTTGCCTTGCCTTACTTTCCAGTAGAAATGATAAGAGTGAAAATTGTTACTTTTCCTTCATTTTAGGGTAAAGCACCATTAATGATAATATTAACCATAAGCTTTTAAAAATAGATACCCTTTACTGGATTTATTTTTAGTATGCTGAGAGTTTTTGTAATAAATGAGTATTGAATGATACTCTATTTTGTTACACTGGCAAATTACATAAACTGATTTTTTAATATTGAACCAACTTTGCATTCCTGGGATAAACTCAGTCATGAATTATTATTTAATATTCTGTGTTCACAAAGATTTTGGTCAGGTTTTCTTTACCTGAAATGTCTTTGTCTGGCAGAGTAGTAATGGATTTATACAGTGAGTTGGGAAGTATTATGTCCTTTTCAATTTTTTTGAAAGCTTCCTTTGAATTGGTATTATTTCTTCCTTAAATGCCTGATAAAATTTACTAGTTTAGAGAAATTTTTAACTTCAAATTCAATTTCTCTAACAGAGAAAGGCTATTTAAATTGCTATTCCTCATTGACAAACTTTCATAGTCTGTGCTGTTAGGGGATTTGTCCGTCCCTCTAAGTTGTTGCATTGATTGGCTTAACACTGTCACACTGTTCTCTTGCTTTCCTCTTAATGTCTGTTTCTGTAGGAGCTATAGTTATAGTGCCTCTCTTTTCTTCATATTAGTAATTTGAGTTTTCTTTTTTATTATTTTAGCTGGGAAATTGTCGATTTTATTGATTTTTGTAACTCGATTCTAGATTAGCAATTTTTTCTTTTACTAGTTTAATTTTTATCACTGCCTCATTATGTAATGTATGTTGGCACTTAGAGCATTTTGAACTTTCCGCAGTTAAACTATTATGCACCTATGGTGTGTGTGTGTGCGGGCGCATGCGTGTGTGTGTGTGTGTGTGTGTGTGTGTGTGTGTGTGTGCTTGGAGTTCATTGACTTTCATCAAAATGGATCATGTTTCAGCAGTTATTTCTCCAAATACTTTTATTTCGCCATTGCTTTCTCTGGGATGCCAATTATACTTCTATTAGAGACCCTAATATTATCTCATAAGTCAGTAAAATTCTATTTTCCCCTTAGACTTTCTTCATATGGGACTGTTTCTTTCATCCACCTTCAAGGTGACTAATCTTTGCTTCTGAAGTATTTAGTTTTTTGTCATTCTTTTTCAGCAAAATGATCACTTACTGTTTTGCTTTTCAGAATTTTCTTTTTAAAATTAGTTCTTAAGATCCGGAGACACTCGTACTGGTCACTCATATCTTCCCCCTTTTAATGCTTAAACATACTTGTGTACTATATCATTTTAATGATATCATTTAATATTTAATGATATCATTAAAATATTTTAATTATTGACTGATTTTTTCACATTTTTCTGTTTCTTCTTACATGTAGAAATTTTTTATTTCTTGGGCTTTATGAACATTGTTGTGCACTGCATTGTGTTGACTTTGAATGTGGAATTTCAATATAGTAGGTAGCTAATTTATTGCTTCATTAGCTTTATCTTTTCAAGACATGTGTTTGAGATTTGTAGTTTGTCTGTACTACTGCTATTCCCAAAGCCTGGGGTGTTGAGGAAACTCCTCTCTTAGACAGAATCCTGACATTTCCCAGCACTGCACTGTATCAGAAATCTCCATTAAGAATCTCACATTTGCTCAATAGCTTTCTCATGCCAAGCCTTCAGGAATCTTTCCTTGCTTATGACCTGTTTAATATTTGGTCAAAGACATAAAGTAGCATCTGTGCGAATCCTGAACTGTTTCTCTAAGAAGATTCCTCCTGTTTCATCTCCTGACCTGGAGCCACCTCAGAAGCCCTCAACTCCAGTTTGTCTCTTCTGCTGAGTGACACACTGATCTCTACTTAAGTTTCATCTTTCTGCACTGTAGCCCAGGAAGTGCTTCCATCAGAAAATCTGGATAGAGGGAGATCTTTTCAGAGACTCTATAAGAGTCTTTTTCTTTGCCTTTTAAAACTATATACTTATTTTTCTTTGAAAAATAAAATAAGAAGATTAGTTTGTCCTATGCAGATCCTGGATTTAAACTAAAATTTGCTTATTGCCAAAGTTTGTAGCCTTACCTTGCCCCAAACTGACAATGCCTTCATAAGGCCTGAACTTGTGGCCTGAGGACTTTGATAAAATGCCCAAGATGTCTTTGGCTTCTTCCGGAGTGGATCAGATTTCATGGAAACCAGACTGAAAGGTGGCAGCACTGTGGCTTTGGGACTCGTGGTCTGAGAGCTCCACGGACTACCTGGGCAGAAGGGTCAGTGCCCATGACCAGGGTCTGTTCAATAGTTTAACCTTCGTGCCTAAACGGCAGCTGGTATCTTCCTGACCAGGGCAGCTGTGGCTCATAGAGCTAAGCCTTACTTCTTGATGGGTAGCAGAGACTTTTGAACTGGGCTAAGGTAGTCTCTGTTTCCATTTACCGAGTTGCTGCAGTGTCACTGGGAAGCAGCAGGATGGGAGTGGCTTGTGGTCAGCGTCTTCTGGGATCTATTCCAAGAAACACACCAGGGTAGCCACGTGTGGCCCAACTTTCCACAGAGTGTGGATCTGGGAAGGGGGATGTCCTGACCCCTTGCTTGCTGTGTCCCTACAGCCTGCTCAGACACGGGGATGCGTGTTTCCTGCCAGAGGAGTGCCCGTGTGCTTGGAAGGGGAAGGAGTACTTCCCTGGGGACCAGGTGACATCTCCCTGCCATACCTGGTAAGTGAGGACTCTGAGCTGGCTTTGCTTCTTGCTAGGAATGGGTATGAAACATGTTACCACAAGTGTAATCTAGCACTCTCTTTCCACTGATTATATTCGAGTCACATGTTTGTATGTTTTGTAGGGGTCCATGCACATACACAAATATATGTATATAAAATAGTATTTTGGAGTACTTTTGTGACTACATGAATGTAAGTTTGTTCAGCATGTGTACCTGCATAAGCATGAGAATGTGTTCGCATATTTAAATGAAATGTAAATGTGGGCATAAATCTAAAATGCACAGACTGCATAGATGAAGATGCATGTATTTGGATGTGGCTGAAAAGACATATATTCATAGATCTGAGTGTGTTCATGAATATATACAATTAGATATTTGTGTATATAGAGACACGATTGTATATATATATGTGGTACATACGTTATCTATTTAGTGCATATGGACATATGTGCAAAGCATATGATTATATGAGTGCACTAGATAAACATATTTGTGTTCACATGTGAAGGAACATATATATCTGCACAAGTGTGTATCTGTTTTTTGCCTGTGAATACATACAAGCCTTATACAAAAGCGAGTGAGTGTGTATGTATCCTTGCACACTATGTTCGGTAATGTGTATACTATGTGGGAGTATGTGAGTCTAGACCGGGTTCCATGGAAACAGACTCAGATCTGGTTGTGCAGAGGTGCTGGGTCATGCAGCAGGAGTAGATGGTAGGCAGGGACTCAGCCTTCTGATGGAGAAAGCATTGGGGAGGGGATGAGAAGTAATAAAGCTGTGCCCTGATGCTGTAGAGCAAACTCAGCCCCTGTTCCAGTGCTAAGAACCAGGCAGGGGTGGCCTAATGTGATCAGGACTCCTCTGGTCCTGGGACCCAAGAGCTCTGCAGAAAATCTCAGGGACTCTCTGTCTTGGAGATCCACCCAGCTAGCTGGAGCTGGGGCCCAGTCACTGTCCCATGCAGGGGTTGAAACCGTTCTGTTTCTCTGGCTCAGAAGATGACTGTGGCATTTCTTGCCATGCTAGGACAGGGTCACAATCAAGCCCTCCTACTCCAAGGCAGTTTCCCCCCAGACTGTCAGGGTATATCTAGAGGATTAGAGCCCAGGCTGTCTGATTCCAGAATCTTCTGAGTTTAATGTCAGGATGCAGAGCTCTGTGAAGGAACTGAAATGTTTATAGGGTTTGGTGACTTTGATGGCCCAGGGCTAACTTGGCTTGGCCAAGGGTGCTCTGGGCCCAGAGACTGACCCGCTTTTGTCATTTCACTGGATTCCAGATCCCAGTCCTGTGCCCTCACCTGCAGGCAACAGGACACTGAGGCTCTGTTGAGTCCTCTCTGAGCACACTGGCCTTGGAAATCAGGTCCAAAGCAGAAGGTGGCGGACAGAGTCTGGAGTCAGGGCCAGTGACTGCCGGGGGTATTTTAGAATTTGGAACTCTCACAGGAGGTTCTGTCTTCTCAGGAAATGCTAATTGGCCATGCAGTAGGTATCCTCTCGCCTTTAGGACGAGAGGAGAGATACATGAATAAGTTTTTACTTAATTCAGTTTTTGAAGTTGCATCTTCCAAATCCACATGTGCAACCTTCTCAGCATTCCCTCTTGAAGATCGCACCACTGTGTCTGTTCTGCTTTCTGCGGTGAGGAAGTGGATGCTTGAGGTGTGCTTGGCCTCATGTGGCTTGAGCATTTGGTAGGATCTATTCCCCAGAATGAGGCCTGGCTGCCCAGTTCTTCTCAACTCCCCATTGAGTCATATCTGGCAGCCTTAAGTCAGCCACGTGGGAGTATTGACCACGCTGCGTGGCTGTGTGGGCTGTAAACCACTGAGAGTGGGGTGTGATTGGATGTATACACAGGCTCAGGAAGACGTGGAGTTGGTGAATGACCGAGTGTGTCTATGGTGTGTGAGTGGAAAGAACCTGCCTCTCATGATCGCTGTCACGCATGGCTCCCAGGTCATATTCCTTTACTCCTAAAGTTAAGCACTGGGCCACTGTCGCTTCATCTGTCTCTACCTCTGCCCTACTTTTGGAGACTGCAATATCCATTTCAGCATCCACTTGGAATTTTGGAGGTTTCAAATCCAGTACTAGAATCTCAGCTCCTTCATCTTCTTTCTTTTTCTTTTTCTTTTCTTTCATCTTCTTTCTTCCAATGACCTTTCTCTACCCTAGTAGAGTAAGTGGTCATCCTATTGCTCTTGCCTTTCCCAGTCCTCAGCAAGCACACATCTCCTCTCTCGATGCCTTCTGTCTTTCACTCCACTTCTCTTGTTCCTTGATTCTCTCAATTCTGCAACTCCACCTGGATTTCTAACCTGGAGGCCTTTCTACTCCCTACTGCTTGTCGCTCTGTGCCTTCCCCTCCCTGTTGCATAAGCCCAAGTGCCAGCACCGTCCTCACTTCTTCTGTAACCAGTGCCAGGTTCGCGCGGTGAGGACTTCCAGCCTCAAGTCTCTTGCCCTCTCTGGTTTGCCGTCACTTGTGTCCCACTTAATCAATTTGCCATTCTCTGTTGGATCATCCTCACTGTGTAAGAGTATATGGCTTGATAAACTTCCAACTTCCTCGTAACCTATTTCTCTCCTCACCTTTTAATGCAACAATTCTTGGAAAATCCTCACTATACTTGCTATTTTCCAATTTTCATCCCCCCTTTATTTTAGAGGACGCCAATGCTAGACATTTTCCTCATCATATCGTAAAAACTATTCCTGTCAAGGTCACTGGTAACCTCAGTCTTGCTATTTCGGTGTCATTTGTTAGCTTTCATCTTCCAAGGGCTGTTAACAGGATCTGACAGTTGGTCACTTGCTGGTCATTCTTTCCTTCTTGATGCCTGTATTCCTGTGGCTTTTGGAAGACCATGTTCTCTTGGTTTTCCTCCTAACTTTCTTCTTCTCCTTAGTTTCCTTTCCTGTTTTCTGACCTCTTCAGAATGGAGTATGCTGAGGTACCTCTTCACTCAGCTATTTATACCCCTTTCCTTGGCTGACTCACCCAGTTTCATAACTGTAAGGCTACCTATATGCAGGTGGCTCCCAGCTTCCTACCCGCAGACCACAGTAACTCTCTTCTGAACTCCCAGTTCCCTGGTGAGCATCCCCATGCGTGTGTTTAATGAGTATCTCACAATCAGAGCATCTCAAACTGGACGCTTGAGTTTTCCCCTCAAACTTGTTTCTCCCTTAGCCTTTCCCATCAGGGTCAGTGAAAGCTTCATTCCTCCAGTTACTCAGGCCAGACCACCAGAGTCATCTGAGTCTTCTTTCTCATTACCCAGATCCAACCGGTCTGCAGATCCTTTGGGTTCTGCCTTCAGCAGGCACCCCAAGTCTGACAACTTCTCCTTCCTCCCACAGCTGTCACCCTTCGCTGAGCCACCGTTGTCTGTATCCTCCCTGACTTGCTGCAATTTCCTCCAGACTGGTCTTTCTGCTTCCCCTTAAACCGCTTCACTTTAGGCTCAATGCAGCAGCCAGAGTAAAACACAAACCGGTCTTGGTCTTGTCACTTCTGTAACCGCATCCTCCAGTGACTTCTTTCATTCTTAGCAAAGGCTCCCATTCTTACAGGGTTTTCCTGGAGCCATGTCATTTGGATGTCCACCACGTCTCTCAATTCCTCTTCTGCTCTATTGCCCATGTGCTATCCATTTTAGCCTTGCTATCTCCTGACTGTTCCCTAGGGCATCTTCCCAGAATGCTCTGCTTCAAGATGTCCATGTAGTTAGTTAGCTCTTCCACTTCCTCTAGGTCTCAGCTTAGTGTCCCCTCCCAGCACTATTCAAAGTTGTAACCCATTCCCAATTCCTTCATCCTGCTCCCCCAGAGCATGCTCTACCTTTCAACATATCCTATGACTTTCTCAGACTAAATATTCTTACGTTTCAGCGTGTATCTTTCATCGTCTAGAAAAAGTAGAGGGTATTATGTATATTTTTATTTTGCTGTGGTGTTCACTGATATATCTCAAATTCCTGGAAGAAAGAATGCTTGGGTGCCATAGGCACTTAATCTGTATTGAATGAAGAAATTTAGTGAAAAAGAATGTGAACTTTGGAGTCACAAAGACCTAGGTTAAATCTCAGCTCTATTACTTATTGAGTGTCCTTAACCTCTGTAGGCCCCATGTTTCCTGCATAAAATGAGGTCACAATCACACTCTCCTTGCTTCTGTTGGGGTTGGTGATGTCTGTTGACCCTTTACCCAGTGGTACACAGGGTGCACTCAGCAGGCAATGGCTGTCAAGGGTATTCGGGTGTGAGGTGGAGTGTGGCCCTTGAATTTGTCATGTGTGTTTCAGCATCTGCCAGCAGGGCTTGTTCCAGTGCATCCTGCACCCCTGCGCCTCTACGTGCACTGCCTATGGTGACCGGCATTACCGCACCTTTGATGGGCTCCCATTCGACTTCGTGGGGGCCTGCAAAGTACACCTGGTCAAGGTGAGTTCCTGGAGGTCTGCTCTGCTGGCTCCAAGGGAACCCACAGCAGCTGGGTCCAAGGACTTGTTCATGCACTTTCATGCTGTGCTACAGTTTGATGCATGGCTGAGTGGGAGGGGATGTGGCTGCCAGAGCTGGAGGGAACCCCACTGCCCCCCAATCACCTCTATACCTTGCCCTGTTGGGACTGGGAAGTTTGCTCTTTTGCTGTCTGTAGGAGAAAGAGTTAATGGTTTTTGAGCTTTTATTGCAGTAAATCTCTGATGGCCTACTGAGTCATATTTGTGGGTTCTTTCACTTAACCTCACAGCAACCTCCAACGTTGGCTTACAGATGAACAAATTGAAAGTTTAAGGAACTTGCCGAAGGTCACCCGCTCATCTACAGTAGCTGGAAAGTTAGTTGATGTGGAGTCACATCTTAAAGTCCTTGGCTCACCAAGAGGAAGAAGGGTGTGATGTGGGTGGCACAGTGAAGACAAGATCTCCCAGAAGGAGAGAAGGGCACCAGCTGTGCAGATGGGACAGTGCTAGACACGCTGGGCAACTTGGTTTTACTAAGGCCTATCTATCTCGCCATATAAGAGCAATAGCAATAACAGTGATGAAACCTTTTATGCAGAGCATCCGTCTGCACGATAGGCATTGTACTGGGGTCTTTCACACAATTTCTGTAACTCTCCAAGATGAAGATTATTGACTTCATCTTTTTTTTTTTTTTTTTTAGGATTTCAAACGTATTGCATGTTTGTCACTAAAATATAAAACAACATAGAAGAGTATATCAAAAATATATATTTCCCTTCACACCTCTTCTGTTCCCATTCCCTGCTATATAAGCTCTCCTAAAATGGATAAATCCTGCAAGACCATTCTCCATCATGGATGCACACACATGTACACACAGTTGTGTGTACATGCACTTTATGAGAATAGAATTCTGCAATTGGCTTTTTTTCATTTAAAAGTATACCTTGGGCATTGTTAGTATGTATTATTTTCTTTTCAACAGCTGATACATGCTCTATGGAAAGAATATACTCTAGTTTGTTTCATTATATCTCATGGATGGGTGTTTAGGTGGTTTCCAGTATTTAAATATTAAAGCAGCTAGATATACAGATGTATGTCTAGAGTTTTAGAATTGAGATTGCTGTACAAAGGGTTACATCATTTGAACTGGGCTGGCCATCCTTTGAACTGGCCCACAGCAGAGATGTAGGTAGGGTGGTGTCTCTGGACACTAAACACCTCTGTTCTATCAATTACTTAACTCATTCATTAGCTGTGTACTTTTGGGAGAGTTATTCCATGCTAATACCATATGAGGCACCCAGTAACAAAACTAGCAGAGAACTCAAGTCATCCAAAGTCACATGGCCAAATACAAAGCAGATTGAAAGCCACTTCAGAGTCCGTGTCCCCTCCACCTCTAAGCAGTCAGAGAGATCTCTTTGCTCCCTGATTTTACTGGATTCACTTCTTTTCTCCCCAGAGCACATCAGATTTCAGCTTCTCTGTGATCATAGAGAATGTAAACTGCTACAGCTCTGGCATCATCTGCAGGAAATTTATTTCCATCAATGTTGGGAACTCGCTCATCATCTTCAACGATGACTCAGGAAATCCCGTAAGGCCCCAGTGCTAGTGAGGGTTGTGTAGACAACATAGAGGTTACCAAGGGGCTGGGGCAGGAGAGAACGAAGGGGGTGGGGCAGGAGAGAACTGAGGGCTTCAGTGCCTCCATGTCAGGGGCTAAGGCTCAATTTCTTGGCTGGATCAGGAACAAAAAAACAAAAAACAAAACCGATGTCTCTGCACAAGGGAGGCAGAAGCATTGGTGATGTCCTGGAGTTGGGAAAAGCTTTGTGGCTGATGCAGGTCCTGGGGACACTCAGGCCTCAAGACTGACCACCTGTCCCTCTAGAGTCCTGAGAGCTTCCTGGATGAGAAGCAGGAGGTCCACACATGGAAAGCAGGGTTCTTTACACTGGCGCGTTTCCCCCGGGAACACATTACCCTCCTGTGGGACCAGAGGACCACAGTGCATGTGCAGGCAGGACCTCAGTGGCAGGTAATCACATGGGCAGCGCATGAACCAAGCTACTGTGTGTCCTCGGATGAGCTGTCCCTCTCCAAGGAGCCAAGAAGAGCCTGCCTCTGTCCTATCCAACCCACTCCACTCTGAGCCCTTCCTCTCTGACATTGCTGTGTCCTGCTTCACACTGCAGCCCCCAGCAGTTGTCTTTGGGTACATAGTAGACTCCTGGGCTCATGGCAACCTCCCACGCATGCTCACCCCTGGTATGTCTGCACTGATCTGGTGCCCTTTCTTTCAGGGCCAGCTGGCAGGCCTCTGTGGGAACTTTGACTTAAAAACCATCAATGAAATGCGGACCCCGGAGAACCTAGAGTTAACCAACCCCCAGGAGTTTGGCAGCAGTTGGGCTGCAGTTGAGGTAAAGCCTCCCCAGGCTAGCTGTACCCCTCAGTCGGATGGGCACTGGCTCTGGGTCGGGGAAGGGGGTCATCAACATGACACTGCTCCTGAGGTTGTTCTCCAGCTCTTGATCGGAATCCCTAGCCTTAGACTCTGTCTTGTGGCCTGAGAACTTGGCCAAGCCCCAAGGCAGTGGGGAGGGCTTGGAAGAGGGCAAAGTCTCCATCCTAGGAGAGATGGCCACCTTGTGGAGAAGGCAAAGCTCACTGAAGCATGGCCAGTTTAGCTATCCCCATGCCTGGTGCCTGGCATTCTGTACCGCACAGAGGAGACACGGATACGGGTTGACACCATCCTTGGAAAAGGCTTCCTGATGGAGGTGGGACTGGGGCTGGGGTTAATGCAGAGGCCATGTGTGGATGGATGGATGCCTCAGAGAGAAGGTCTCTGGGAGGGAGGAAACCTGGCAGGGCAAGCAGTGAGAGGAGTGTTCCTCAGGCTTGGAAGATTCCTGTTGAAGCTGCCAAGCTAAGAACTATGGAGGGTAACAGCACCAAGTTCAGCCTGAGACCTGGTTTCTCGTCTTTGATCATCTACTAACTTAATGGGTGATCTTGAGTAGGTCCTGTCTTCTGTGTGGTTCTCTGTGGAGTGAAGGGGGCTGTGCTAGCAGAAGGATGATATATAGATTTCACCTCATGTGACAAATCTGAGCAGTCAGAAGAGACAGCCTAGGAAGCTGCATTGAGAAATAGTCTTGTATCATGTTCAGCTGGAAGGAGGACTTCAATCTATTACTTTTGTCTGTCATGGGTGCAGCAATGGAGAGTGGTGACATGAGTGCTACCTATTTGCCATTCTAACTAAGAGACCTAATTCTCTGCTGAGGAGTAGATGGAGATGAACCTGTGTGGATGGGGCAGGCAGAGCAGCTGGGCATGGCCTGGAGCTCAGTGCAATCCTAAGGTGGCAAAGCTGTTCCCCTGCCAACTCACCCCTTTGTGATTGCTCACCCCCCATATTTCTTTATGTTCTGGGGTGCTCCAGGGGAAATGTGGGCCTGAGGAAAGGAGCTCAACAGATATCAGGAAAATGTGTATTAGTTACCTGTTGCTATGAGGCAGAATTAACACACACATCTTACCTCAGTTTATTTGGGTCAGGAATCAGGGCACGAAATTTAGTCCTCTGCTTAATGACTCACAGGCTACATCAAGGTGACAGGCAGGGTGGAATCTCTCCTGGAGTGTTCACCGGGGAAGGAATTCCTTCCCTGCCTCCTCCTGTGGCTGTGGGTGGCATGAGCTCCTGGAGACTGTAGGACTGAAGATCCAGCTCGTTGATTAGCTGGTGGGCAGAGGCCCCGTCAGCCCCCGGAGACCTGCTCTTCAGGCCTCAAGGGTTTCCCGCATGCACAGCTGCCTGCTTCCTCAAAGTCAGCAAGGGAGAGACTCCAGCAGATGAGCTGTGCAGCCTTAGTACATAAGCAGATCATCGCGCACACACAGCCGTGTCCATCGCATCTCTGTGCCAGTTCTCCTGGTTTGAAACAAGTTGTTGGCCCCTCTACTCCCACAGGGAGGGGGTTACTCACAGACATCAATATCCGGGTGCAGGATCAGGGCACACTCCCCTGTGACAGGCATGCAGCGGGTGGGGAGGTCAGCAGTGCCATCTCTGCCCTCAGTGCCCAGAAGCCCTCGAGCCCCAGGACACGTGTGTCCTTAATCCTCTCCGGGAACCCTTCGCCAAGGAGGTGTGCAGCATCCTGCTCAGCGAGGTGTTTGAGACCTGTCACCCTGTGGTGAGTGGACCCCCACTCCAGCCCCTCCTGCTTCCCTTCCCACTCTCTTGGGCCCCTTCTGCTCTCCGAGCTCTCCGTGCCTTGAAGAGACACCTCAAGTCCAGGGAGGGGACTCGCACCTGCCACTCCCCTGCCTCCAGTCTGCCTCTTTGCTCAGTTTCCGAGCCCTCTGTGTGCCCAGCTCAGCCCAGCTGCCTTCCTCATCGGCACGCTCTGCTGCAGAGTGAACTCACCCACCTGTCATGTGGCCCTGCCTCCTGGCCTGCTCTGCCCAGGGCTCAGGGAGGAGAATGTGGGTGACCGCCTACACCTTAAGGCTTTAGTCCCTGCCCAGCTGCCAGCCCTTCCCACACAGCTCCACCTACACCTTGGCCTCTTCGTGTCCGAGCTGGTGGGCAGTAGCCAGAAAGCTGCAGGTCTGACCTTCCGGATCTGACCTCTGACCTCTGACTTCTGACCTCTCCCAGGTTGATGTCACTTGGTTTTACTCAAACTGCCTGACGGACACCTGTGGGTGCAGTCGGGGTGGTGACTGCGAGTGCTTCTGTGCCAGCGTGTCTGCCTACGCCCACCAGTGCTGCCAGCACGGGGTGGCCATTGACTGGCGGACCCCCCGCCTCTGCCGTGAGTGTCCCGCACCTGTCACCCCGGGGGGGGCAGCATGGGTGAGGGCGACATTTCCTGAGTACTCAGTATGTGTCAGGTACCACTGCCCTTTAAGATAGGTCCACTTGGGGAATCTGCGGCCCACAGAGAGGTTCTCCAGTGCTCTTGAGGTCACCCAGGTTAGTGACAGAGCCAGGTCCACCCCAGACAGTGGTGCAAACCTGTGCTCTGCACTGCTTTGCTATACGAGTTCCAAGCCCAGCACTGCCATCTGTGTGCTGTGTGACTTTGGACAAGTTATCCAGCCTCTCTGGGGTGCAATTTCCACTTCTGAAAAATAGGACTGGACCCACCTACCTGGTTTGTTGTGAGGTTCAAGCAGGTAATGACTGTAAAAACCCTCTGCAGAGGCAGCATCTACCCACTCACTCAAGCAGGGTGATCTGCTAACATTGTTGATTAAACACCTCTACCAATAAATGAATAAACAAATGAATAATTACATTTACAGCACTGGGAATTGAATGAGGGCCTTTGCACTGAGCTACACTCCCAGGCTTTGTTTTGTTTTGTTTTTTTACATTGAGACAAGGTCTTTCTATTTTTTTTTTTTTTTGTCTTTTTCATTTTTATCGGTACCAGGGATCGAACTCACGACCACCTGTTTGCCAGGCAGGTGCTTATGCCGCTGAGCTAAACCCCCAGCCCCTGAGACAAGGTCTTTCTAAATTGCTATGTTGGTAAGACTGAGCTTGAACTTGTGATCCTCCTGCCTCAGCCTCCTGAGTTCTGAGACTACAGGCATGCACCACTGCACCCCAAAAATATGAAATTATTTGAGCGCGCGCACACACACACACACACACACACACATATACACACACATATATTCCCATAGCATAGAGGTATATTTAAAAACATACAAAATGGTGTAAAGTGCCATTAAGATTAACTATTAATATATTAAATATAACTAATACATATTAAATATAGAAAAACTAATGTTGAAAAGATGAAATAAATACACAGAAGCTGAATTAGTTACTTCTTACTTGTTCTTGGACACAATGGATTGTCCTGTGTGAGTGCACCCATGGTAGGTGCACAGTGGTGATGGCCCAGGTCCTACACCAACCTAGGTGACCTGGGCACTGTCCTTGCACTGTGGACTCCCTGTCTGCAGTGGAGGCAAAAGAAGAGTACACGTATAGTGCTTGGCACAGTGGGTGTGATGTGTCTGAACCCTGAGGGCTCCGACAAAGGACCTCAGGAAGAAGATGGGAACCTCCCTTACCTCTGCTGACTGTTCCAGGATCCTGTCTTTGCCTTAAATGCCCTGTCCCCAGCTGGTCCCTCGCCCTCTACTTCTTGGATGACTGAACTTCTGGAAGAATGGGGACCCACTCGTGCAGGAGCCAGGCCCAGGGGCATCATTTGATAACTTGCACTAGAACGAGGTGTTCCTGGGGTGTGAGAGTAAAGGACCACCAGAAAACTGGGGAACCGAGTGCAGTGACATTTGGATGCAATAATTCTTAAGAAATTAAAATGTTACAAAAATATCCTAGATGAACGAGTTCTCAAAAGATCAATATTACTGATTTTTCCTTTTGCTTTGCGTTCTGCTCTGGTTCTGCTGTGGAACACCGTTATGTGATCCGATCTTTATTTTAACCTTTTGATATTCTGTTGCGAATCATTGTTAATTTTGATATGTTAGAAACATTGCATGAAAGTAGCACTTCTCATGTCAGTCTAAATACGCATAAGGAAATATTCTCCAGAAATTGGTAAGTTAGTTTGGGAACAGCAGCGCATCAGAACGAGAACATATCAGCCATAATAAGCTGTGGAGGTCTCCAAGAAGACTAAGGCCGGGGGGAAGTTTTTAAAAGCAAAGTGAGGAGAACTATATGAGTTAGTTTGACACAGTAGTCATTGGTTATAAGAAGTGAAATCTCAAAGATGTGCAGGTATTAATAAAGTTGGTATCAGTCCAAAGCTGAACAGACAGTTGTAGGACAGATGTCCTTGCAGAAGTATTGTTTGTGCAAGTGTTGTGACCTTTGGGCCATGTTGAGGCTCTGGAGAAGCTTTTGTGACTGGGTCTCATGACCAGGCTTTCCTGTGAGAGGGCCTTTCCTTCATGCTCTCCTGCCTTTATTTGCTATTTCATTCTTGCTGTTAGGGGTGGACACAGACGACTCCATTTTGATTCTGACAAATTTTGCGATCTTTACTGAGGTTTTGGGGGCCCCTTTAAATTTGTTACCGGAAGTGAGCACTTTGCCTGACCCAGGGAGTCCAGGCAGGCCAGTAGTGGTTCCACTGAAGAGGAGGACCCTCAGTTTCAGATATGATAAGGTAATTTACCTATGCAACTGATGAGAGAGAGAGGTGGAATTTGAACTGTGGTCTGACCCTAACAAAACCTACTCTCCTGGGTCACCTCCCATTGCCAGGCTACACACCTGAAACTTGTGACTTGGCTATATTTTAATTTTTAATTCAAACATTTCATCCACAAATGCAAGGCAGTAGACTCCTGACTCGTAATGCATTTAAAAAGAATGCAATGCTAAGTGTATTGACCATGGGGTTGAGGCCTGGAGTGGAGTTGATGGCTCTCTTCAGACCGTGCTTACGAGTGAAGCAGGTCCTCTTCAGCCTTTATTGTGGGTCCTTCAGGCTCCTGTGCACCTAGAAACCCACAGCCAAGGCCCTAGGAGAGTGCCAGGCTGTGCCACAAGGGGGCGCGCTGAGTCCATGCTTGCAGGCGCTTGTCCTCTCTGGACTGGTTGGTGGAGGCTTCTCTGCTGAACTAAGGACACTGCAGAGGGAGGGGCTTGGTCCCCTTCCCACTTCAGGATCTGGGAAGAAGACTATCCTTGAATTTTGAAGTTTGGGAGGCAGGACAGGCCCAGCTCTTGAGGAAGGAGGGAGGCTGGGATGCCAGGGGCTCTGGCTCTGGCCATCTATTCCAGGCTGCACTGGTTCTTAAGAAGTCTCTGTTCTCTTTTTCAGCATATGACTGTGATTTCTTTAACAAAGGTAAGCCCATAACCCCTAAATGATCCTCAGGGCCAGAGCACTGCTAGCCCTGCTTCTGTGCCGGCCACATCAGCCCCTGCCTGTCTGAGAGTCCACTGCTCTGGAAGAGCTGTGACATGCAAGACAAGAGCTCTCTCCATCACGCAGAGAGGACCCTGACAGTGCAGGGCCCAGGGATGTCGGGGACTGTGCGCCCAGTAATTCCCCATGTGGAGCCAGAGATTGTGCTCACCCACAGCGGCTTCACCGGGAAGTAAAGCCCCATTGACACCAAGATGCCAGCTCCACAGCCTCCTGTGAGCTCGTCAGACCCAGGGCTGGTCATCTCGGTTCCCCGAAGTTGAGAGTTAGCAAAAGCAAATGTAAATTGCTCCTTCTGAGGAAGGCTGGGACAGAACATACAGCCTGTTGGATCCATCTTCAAATATAGCCGAGATGACCAGGCAGTTATATGTGCTTTAATATTTAGATTATTATTAGTAAGGGTGAGATGACAGGTCACAGCTTAGGACCTGAAGTAGATCAGTTTCCAGTGTTAGACCCACTTTGTCATTTTTTCACTGGGTTGAATGGGCAACAGGAAATGGGAGAACCTGCCCAGAGTAGTTTTTAATGCTGAATTTCATCCATTTGGGCCACAATCAGACCCTTTCACCCTGACCCCTTCCCCTAGGTGCCAGGCTATGTGGGTATAGGACAGAACTTGTCCTCAGTTTTCTGGTTTATCTGACTTTGGTTTGAGAAATTCCTCTCTGACGAGAGTATAGTGGTTGGGATGGAAGGGACAGACTACTGACAAGGACACCAGTGAGGGGTTTTGCGAGGCGAAGGCTGGATCAGGGTGTGGCACCATAACTCAGAGATGATCCAGCCAAAAGGGTAGCCCTTAGGGACCCCTGATGGCCCCAAACCTTTAACTCCTAAAGGATGCATCCGTAAGGGGGAGAGTTGCAGTTTCAAGGACAGGCAAGGTCACCCTGACATCAGGCAAGACATTTCAGCAAGAGTCTGAGCAGTTTTCCCCGTTCTGTGGCATTTCGGGTGGCAGTAACTGGCAAAGGACAAGCTGTTTCTAGCATCCCCCACCTACCCATCCACCCACTCACTGATCCTTGCCTTGCTCTGTTCCTCTACCAGCATTTTCTCTAGTCTGGGCCCCTGTGGGGTGCTGGAACGTCCGTGGTAAGTGGGACCTGTCACAGCAGTGTGCTGAGCTGGCCTGCAGCAAGTGAGTCCCTGACTCCACGTTCAGTTGGTGGTTTGAAATGAGCCACCGCGAAACCAGCAAACATATGTTCGGTTTTGTTTGCTTATTTATTTTCTTTTTCTCTCTTTTTTCTTCCTGAGGGCTGGTTGTTAACCATTTCCTAGCACAGCACTGCCTGCCTCACGGCTAGTGGGGGGGCACAGGTGTGAACCCCCAGTTCAGATCCTCATCATAAAACGGTGACCGCTGTGTGGCTTCTCCAAAGGCTGTCAGAGTGCAGAGGAGGAAGGACACTGTGTGTGTGAGAGACAGGAGAGGGTGCAGGGAGAACTCACCACGGAGGTGACATTTCAGCTCATTCCCAAAGACCGAGTAGGTGTTCGCCAGGCACAAAGCGGGGAGCCTACTCCGAGCGGGTGGAAGAGCATGCTGAAGGCCCAGCTAGGACATAGCGCAAGAGAAGTTCAGTGTGGCAAAAGCCAGACAGTTAGGGGGCCCACAGAGGGATGGGACCAGGGGCGAAGAGCCCCTGGACTCAGATGGGACACGTCAGTTCTATCGTAAAGGCTAAGGGAAGCCAGAGGTGAGTCCCCAGGAAATGTGGATGGAAGGGGACTCAGGTGGCTGTGGGGAGGAGGCACCGGAGGGCAGGGCCACCCATGCCCCACTCCAGCTCACACCCTTAATTCCAGGATCCCCCCTGATATGATGGTGACACACGCTTAAAATAAACGTCTTAGCACAGACATTGAGCTTGGCCTATCTGCATCCTCAGACCGTGGTGGGGAGAGGCCAAGTGTGCTGTCACCTTCCCCAGGTGCCCCTGAACGGAGTAGTGGCTGTAAGGGTCATGTGTGAGGAGTTAGATGGGCACTGAGACACATTCAGGGACCCAGATGTTCCCAGAGGTGGTCTTCTTCCTACACTCCCTGTGGAAGGAGTCTGACAGCCTGGGGTTTTGTCCGTTCCTTCTCATGCACATCAAGGTCTCCGTGGCCTGGATCAGAAGCCACCCCAGCCCCCACACCAACCTGGGTCTTTCCTCTTTCCACCTCTGACAGGCATTCGAAGGTGGGGTGGCAGCTGGGGCTCTGACTGGACTCTTCTCTCCAGCACTAGGTAAGGGCCCCTACCAGCTGTCCAGTGTGGCAGCCGGCGGTGCCCTGGTGGTCAAGAAGGCGGTGGGCAACGGCGTAGCCCTAGTCAAGGCAGAGGAGGTGGCGCCAGGGGACATCTCGAGCTTCCTGCTCACAGCTGCTCTGTACAAGGCCGCAGCCCATGGTAAGCACCAGCCCTGGCCCGGTGGTCTCTTTTGGGAGGGAGGCAGGTGCCGGAGGAGGAGAGGGTTCGAGGCCCTGAGCCAACTGTGTGCCTGAAGAGACGGGCTCGACAGCTGCCTGGTTCCTGGCTCAGCCAGGGCTTTTTGGTCAGTTTTTTAGCCTGGGTGAAGAGAAAAAAAAGGATCCTTTCCAGAAAATACTAGGAGACCACGCCCTAGATGGACCTTTGCACCTCTCTGTAGGCATCCTGTGGTCAGAAAGCCCAGGAACAACTCTCTCCTCTTCCTCCCTCCTCTTCCCTTTTTCCTCCTTGTCCTCCCCCAGCCTCTGCTGGCCTTCTCCCACTGACCATGTATTCTCAGATCAGGCACACAGCTGGGCACTGGGGATTGGGGATGTGACAGACACAGTCCCATGGGGAAAATGACATAGCCGAGGCAGTCACAGCATCCAGGGGGCGCTGAGAAAAGCCCCTGGCTCAGTCTGGGGGAGGCGGAATGGCTGCTTGAAATAAGCAACATCGCTTTAAAGTGCAAGGAGTTGAGAAGGGACTTGGGAGCATCCTGAGGGCACTGTAAGGGGTTGGGGGGACACTGGTTGCTGCCCAGCCTAGATGCAGCTGAGGTCCCCAGCGATGGGTGACACTGGTGGTGGTATGAGCCCGGGTGCAGGGGGAACACAGGAATCACATGGCTGCATGTGGAGGCCTGGGAGACATGAACTAGGTGCTTCTAGCCTCCCAAGAGAGTATTGGTCGTGACAGGAAGGAAGGATGTCTCATGAGCTCTCAGAGACTAGGCCATCGGCTTAGCGGGAGATTTCTGTTCTCCAGTCATTATTTTAGTACAGGAAATAAGGTGTGTATGTTGGCAGGGGGTGCAGGCTTCCCTGCAGCTGCTGTCTCCCCACTTTATAAGTGAGAGTGCAGAGGCTGGAGATGCTAAAATTTACCCAAGGGATCTGGGCTCCTCAGCGTTGGGACGAGCCGGGATTTGGGTTCCAAGGTCTGTTTTCCAGACCACTATGCCATGCTGCTCTTGAGGCGAGGGGTTAAGAAGAAACAGGCCTTGGAGAAGCGAAGGTGACAGTCACTTGAGTGTTTTAAGTTAAAACGAGCCAGTGTGCCTTGGGGTCTGGGTTCAGCCCTTCCCCAGTGAACAGGACTTCAGGAGGCTGAGAATCCGTGTTCTGGGCCAACCTTGCAGCCAGGGCTCTGAGAAGGGGTGACACAGCCTGAGTGAGTGCTCTGTCCTTGGGCCAGCTCCTGCAAGCCACCCTGGCGCCCGCTGTGTGGTACTGAAGATCCTGGGTGCTGGCTTTTTCCCTCCAGGCCTCAGTCCTGCCCCTCTGGCCGTTGTCAGCTGGGTCATTGGGCCTCGAATGTTGTCTGTGGGTCCCCAGTGCTTAGGACGGTGCCTGGCACTCAGTGTGTATCTGCTGCTGCTGCTGCCGCTGCAAAAGTGTCCACTTCACTAAGTTCCCATAGGGATTTTTTCACTCTCTCTCTCTCTTTTTTTTTTATTAATGATACAGGTTTATGGGTTTCCTTTCGGCAGATTTGTACACACAGCGTGCTTTGGTCATTGAACCTCTCTGTTGTTCCCTGGCCCCACCATCTCCCAGTTTCACACTGGGGAGGTTTCAGAGCGTGTAATACATTTTGCTCACATTCACGCCACCATTCCCCACCTTTATACCCCCTTCCCCCTCATTTTATTCTTTATTCCCTTCCTGTTGTCTATTAAGAGTCTCCCTTCTACTTTCTTGTCATCTTTTTTAGATTCTACATGTTAGGGAAGCGGGTGACCTTTGTCTTTCTGAGTCTTTTATTTCACACAATGTGATGTCCTCCCAAGCCACCCACTTTCCTACAGGTGACAGAATTCCATGCTTCCTCACAGCGAAGGGGACTCCATTTCGTGAACATACGTTTTCTTTATCTGTGCTTCTGTGTATGGGCCCCAAGGGGGTTCCATATCTTGACTATTGTGAGTTGTGCCACAATAACGTGGGTATGCAGGTATTCCCCAAATATGCTGATTTTAAATGCCATAAGTGTACACCAAAGAGTTACCAAAGGTCTTATCTCTTTATTTATTTATTTTTGGTGTGTCTTGTTTTGTTTTGAGACAGAGTGTTGCTATGTCTTGCTGTGTAGTTCAGGCTGACCCTGAACTCACTGTGTAGCTCAGGCTGGCCTCAAACTCACAGCAATTCTCCTGCCTCAGCTTTCCGAGTGCTGGGATTATAGGTGTGCGCCACCACACCCAGTTTTATTTTTGAATTCTTGATGATAGCCATTCTGATTGGGTGAAATAGAACCTCAAAAGTAGCTTTGATTTGCTTTTCCCTAATGGCTGGAAATGGTGAGTGTTTTTTCATGTAGTTATTGGCCATTTGCACTTCTTTTGAGAAGTATCTATCAGTTCATTCGCCCATGTGCTTATCAGGCTATGTGATTTTGTGTGTATAGGTGTTATTTTGTGTTCTTTATATATTCTAGATATTAATCCTCTGTTGAAAGAGTAACTGGTAAATATTTTCTCTCATTCTGCAGGATGTCTCTTTACTCTGGTAAGTGTTTCCTTTGCTGTAGAGAAACTTTTAAATTTGATATAATTTCATTTGTTGACGCAGTGTTACTGGAGCCCTGCCCAGGAAGTCTTTGTCTGTTCCTATGGCTTCAAGTGTTTCCCATATGTTTTCTTTTGACATTTCAGGCCTTTGGGTCTTGTTCCTAGGACTTTGATCCTTTTTGAATTGATTTTTGAAGAGGATGAGAGATGGGTATCTAGTTTCAGTCTGCTACAATATCTAGTCTTCCCCGTATCATTTGTTTAAAAGGCTGTCTTTTGGCCAACAGATATTTTTGGCTCCTTTGTCCAGAATCAGATGGCTGTGGCTGCGTGGGCTGGTTTCTGTGGCCTCTATTCTGTTCCATTTGTCTATGTGTCTATTTTTGCGCCGGTACCATGCTCTTTTTGTTACTATGGCTTTTATAGTGCAATTTGAAGTCAGGTATCATGAGCTTCCAGGCTTTCTCTCTCTTTTTGATTGCTCTCGGAATTCTGAGTCTTCTGTACTTCCACATAAATTTTAGGGTTGGTTTTTCTAGTTCTGTGAAGAATGTCATTGATATTTTGATGGGATTTCATTGAGCCTATAGGTTGCTTTTTTTTTTTTTTTTTTTTGTACCGGGGATTGAACTCACGACCTTGCGCTTGCCAGGCAGGCGCTTATGCTGCTGAGCTAAATCCACGGCCCTAGGCTGCTTTTTGTAATACAGTCATCTTGACAATGCTCATCCTGCCCGTCCGTGAACGCGGGAGTCCTTCCATCTTCTGGTGTTTTCTTCAGTTTCTTTCTTCAGTGTTGTGAAGTTCTCCATGTAGAGAGCTTTCACCTTTTGGTGAAATTGATCCCTAGGGATTTCATTTTATTTGAAGCTATTGTGAGTGGAATTGTTTTCCTGATTTCTTTCTCAGCCAGTCCATTACCAGTGCATGGTAAAACTATTAATTTTTTAAGTGTTGATTTTATGTCCTGCTACACTGCTACAATGCTGAGTCTTTAGGGTCTTCTAAGTATAGAAGACATCTGCAAACTAGCATAATCTGACTTGTTTATTTTCCTATTTGTATTCCTTTTTTCTCTTGCCTAGTTGCTGCAGCTAAAATTTTAAGAACTATCCTGATTTCCATATTGAGTGAGTGGTGAGAATAGACTTGTTCCTGATCCCCAAGGAATTTAACTGCAGGCAGGAAAAGGCTTCCTTGGCCTAGGAAGCCATTTATAAAGAGCAGTTGTTCTTAATGTCAAGAACGAATTCTTCCTCTGCTTGCTGCGTGTCTCCTGGCTGCCTAGGGAAGTGTAAGGGGACACGGGAGGTGGGTGAGGGGTGAAGGCGTGCCAGGCTGTAGCCCGGCCTCCCACACATCCCTCGTGCTGCCTCTGACCGCAGCCCATATGGGGACCCAGGACTCAGACCCAGGGACATTCTGTATACCTGCTTGTGGACTTGGAACTCTGGGATCTGCAGGACCCTGTGGGGAGGGGTGGGGATTTGCCACCTGGCAGCCACCCTGGTGCTCTAGAAATTGGCTCTCCAGAGCCAGGAAATGAGACATAAGGCTCCTGGTCTCTGGGTAAGCTTTCTCTCTGGTACTCTTTTGCCAGTGGGGGTTGGATAGGGGCCCCCAGCTCTGACCCGCCAGGACTCTAAGAGGAACAGGACCGAAGTGAGGACATGAAACCCAGCAAGTCCCCAAGCCCCAGCTTGTCCCATATATCCCACAGCAGGCAGCTCCTCCAGGGTGGCCATTTGCTTTGTTTGCTGCTGAATCTTGGGCATTTGAAGTAACACCAGATACACAGCGGACTCTCAGGAGTGTTTGCCGAAAAAAGAGGGAAGGAAGGAGCGGAAGCAGGGCTGGGAGAGGGAAAGCTGGCCATGTCCAGGGGCTTCTGTGACCCTTCACATCCCCAGACTGAGGTGACGTGGGCAGAAGGTAGGGCAGAAGGAGGAGGGTGCAGGTTGACCAATGGGGCTGTCATCCGGAGTTACTGAGTGCTGGACACCTTGTGCTGACCTTACCCATGTGGCTCTGTACAGACCCAGACGTGGTTTCCCTGGAGGCCTCGGACAGACCCAACTTCTTCCTGCACGTCACGGCCAACGGGTCGGTGGAGCTGGCTAAGTGGCAGGACGGCGAAGCCTTCCGGCACCGTGCCTCCTTCTCGCTGCACCGGGGAACATGGAGGGAGGGCCTGGTGGCCCTGGAGTCCCTGGCAAAGCCTGGCTGCTTCCTGTACGTGTCGGGATCTGTGCTGGCCTTGCGGCTCTATGAGCACACGGAGGCATTTCGCAAGGGCACGCTCTTCCGCCTCCTGGGTAGGTGCCCACCCACCACCATCCCGGGTCCTTGGCACAAGAGGCTCATTCAGCCTCTCTTCCTGCCCTCTTCCCACTGCCCACTTCCAGTTCCTCAAGAGACAGAGCCCTCATGCTCCTAGCACATGGAGGCCATGGGGGCCACTCTGGAATGGGCAGTTGTGTCTGTCATGTTAGTGGCCTAGGAAGCTATGAACTGTGTGGCTTGGGGCCCAGCCAATTTCCTGGGTCCTACTATTGTCCCAGGTCAATTATATGGGCTAAAAATACATGGCCTTTGTGAGAGTGAGGGGAGAAGAGATCCTGGTGACAGCTTGGGGAGCCTGCAGCTCAGGTTTCTTGGGATGCCTGCCTGTGAGCTTAAGGATGGCTCTCTGGGGCCAGCTGAGCAGCCAGCTGCCTCCCTCTCTCCCTGGGGGGGCCCAGCAACCACTGATGGGGCAGCTCCCTGCTCTTTGCTACTAAGACCAATGCTCAACCTGCCACTGGCCCCAAAATGCCATCCTCTGCGTAACCCAGAGGAGCCATGCTTACATTCAGCTGACATGGGTGAGTCCCCTGATGACATCTACCCACCAGGACAGAGTCATCCTCAGCTGTGACAGCAGAACTCTCAGAGTTCTCCTCTAGAAGACACTGGAGCATGCAGAAAGAGCTCAGATGTGCAGCTGGACAGCCCTGAGTTCAAATTCTAACCCTGTCCCTGGCACTTAGAGGGGGTTCTCCTTGTCTTTATTCTGTCACTCACCTACAAAATGCCTCAAAAAGATCTGGGGAGGTTTGACTGGCCCTATGGGCATCCCTGTGGGCCTGACACATAGCAAGTGCACCCAGGTATCAGATCTTGGCTCAGATTCTAGGCACAGTGCGGGACTCAGGGCATTAGAGGGACTAGCAGGGTGGAGCTGCTCTCTCCAGCCTTCCACAGAGTCTGCCTGTCCCTCCCTTCGAGGCTGTGAATTCAGAGACTGGTCCTTTGCCAGCTCCAAGACCCCTCCAGAACAGGCTGCAGATCTTTCCTTCATGTATCAAGGCACTGGCTGCAGGGTATCTTTGAGACTATCTCCCTTGTAAAAGTTTATTTTCCCTTTATCATCTGTGTTTACAAAATCCTCTGTAACCTGGGAGTAATGACAGTGGCCTACTTCAGGATGACTAGGAAGACCAATTGCGTGGAACACTTGGTGCTGTTTAAGACACAGCTGCCGCCTTGCTCATTAGCATTAGCCCAGCTTCGGGGCAGCAAGGACCATGCTCATATGCACTCAAAGAATCCTCCAGGAAGGCTCCTGGGGAACAGAGGAAGCACTGGGAGAAAGTGGCTCTTTTGCCTGTCAATGACCAGATGCCCAGGAGGGCCTTGGGCTCAACTGGGAAGAGTCCCCAGCACCTCACCTCCCCTTTTGAGAGAGGGATTCTTGCTTCTATGGAGGTTGTTGGTGTTCCAGCCAGAGCTAGGGCAAGGGAAGATCATGTAGGGCAAGCCTGGCACCAGAGGGGAGGGTGATGGGGAGTTGCATGGAGAGATCAAGAGCCCAGGTGTCCTCCCTATCCCCCCAAAGCCCAGCTGCAACTACCTACCAGATCCTACCCCAGGCTTGGCACTATACCCGGTTTGCAGCACCCCAGCCTTGTGGTATCAATCCATCACCAGGGAGACAGCCCCTTCTTCCCTCCTCCTGTCTCCTCTTGGGCTGGGAGGGCAGGGGCTGAGTGCTTGGGTGCTTCTGTGCCATGACACCTTACTCAGACTATGGGGGGGGTCACCTTTCTAGATGCCAAGTCGTTGGGGGCCACCTACCCCATCTGTGAATGGCGCTATGATGCCTGTGCCAGCCCCTGCTTCCAAACCTGCCGGGACCCAGGCGCAGCCAGATGCCAAGATGTGCCCAGGTGCCGGGGGAGGGACTGTGTGTGTGGAGTCAAGACGTGTGCACTAGTGTGCTTGGGCATATATGTGTGCATGCTTGTACGCACATATACACATGCACAGGCTTGTATGCAACCTGTAGGGATGAGTGTGAACGTGTGCTTGGATACATCTGATCTGTGTGTGACTCCTTCGTGAGTGTGAGGATGTGTGAGCCAGGCTAATTGTGCCTTTATCTGTGGGTATGCCATGTGATATGCATACCTGTGCATGATGTACATATAGCTAAATCTTGTGTGTGTGTTTATATATAAGTACGCATGGCTATACACAGCTGTGTATACACATGTGTGAGCTGTGTGTATATGGATGGTGAGCGCAGTGGTGTGTGTGCGCGAGTGTGTATACCCTTATGATTGTGGGGCTTTGTGAATATGTGGTATGTGTGTGTGTATGACTATTTTGGTATCCTGTAGGCTTGAAGGGTACACGCGAGACTGTGTGATCTATACCTAGGTGGCAACATGTGAGCATGTCACATGCATGTGCATAAGCATATGTGTCTCCCTCTCAGCCAGAGGTGCGGATAGGTGTGTGCACAAGTGCCCTGCATGCATATTTGGGAATATGTGCATGTGTGACAGGTCTCCATGGAGGGTGTGTGCTAAGCATGTGCACACACATGTCCTAAAGAAGGATGAGACCTGTGTTCTACCCAAGTGTGAAGGAGTGACCAACCCATGCTCTAGACCATTAACCCATTCCTTGTTTCCTCCCCAGGGTAGAAGGCTGTGTCCCTGTGTGCCCCATCCCCAGGGTCCTGGATGAAGTCACGCAGAGATGTGTCTACTTGGAGGACTGTAAGTGGTCTGATCTTCTCTGTCCTCCCCCAGCTTCCAAGTCCCTGGGTCTCACTGAGCCAGACTTAGCTTGTTTCTTGGCTTTGGAGAGGGAGGAGTGCAGGGGCGGAGCTCGGGGCCTGCTGATGTCTCTGAGATTGTCCAAAGCCAGGGCAGTTGCCTGCGGTGGAAGCTGCCTTCTCCCCATCACCTCCAGCCCCACCCTTCAGTCCCGCCCAGGGAGGCGGCCTGGGTCAGCGGTGCCCCACCTCTTCAACTTCTTGCTTCTGTCCATCCCAGGTGTGGAGCCAGTTGTGTGGGTTCCCCCAGAGGCCCTTGGCAATGAGACCCTGCCTCCTGGACAAGTGCTACCCACTCCTAGTGACAAGCAACCACAGCTGTCGCAGGAAACTCCCACAGCCTCCACGGGCAGGCCAACCCCCCTCACTGTGGCCCTGAACCCACTGATGGCAGCCACTGAGGGGCCAGTGGTGTCCCCAGGTCTCACCCAGTCTCAGCAGCCTCTGGGGCTCACCGCCTCCAACATCTCTGTCCACCCCACAGAAGCCTCAGCCAGCAAGGGAGTGACCGCTGGTCTCCCAGCCACCCCCCAGCTCCTGGATTCCTCACCCCTGCCCCTCTCTCTGCGGACACCCATATCTGGCTTGGCATCAGGTGCCATGGAGACAACCAGGGTGACTGTGACCTCTGCAGGGAGCCCCAACATCACAGTCTCCTCCCGGTCACCCCCTGTCCCACGCTTCCCACTCATGACTAAGGCTGTGACGGTCCCAGGTCGTGGCTCCCTTCCTGTCAGGACAACAGCCCTGCAGCCATCCTTGCCATCCAGTCCCTCCTCCAAGCCTGTGGCTCCCCCTGGGGTGACCTCCAGGCCCCCTACCTCCTCGGGTTTCCACAAGGCTTTCCTGACACCTATAGTAACTGAGGCCATGAACAAGACAGGGATCCCCCAGGCCCCCGAGGCCCAGAGCAGCAGTAGCCCAGCTGTGGTCAGCACAGGAGCAGGACAGGGTCCGGTCAGTCCCTTTGCCACCAAAGGCATGGAGGAGGTGCCATCCACAGGGAAGGGTGAGCCTGGGCGTGGCCAGCCCACACACCTGCCAGCAGCCCTGCATCTGAGCCCAGTCCTCACGGCACTGCCCCACCCAGCCCAGCCCAGCACCGTGGCTACCAGGCCTCCAGCCCCAGCCCCTGAGACCCCAGCTGCTGCCAGCCTGTCCACAGTTGTGTGGGGGCTGGGAGCCACAGCCCTCTTGTCTCCGGAGTCAACACAGCCACCTCATCTCCTCTCTGGCCTGCCCCCTGACACTAGCCTGCCTCTAGCCAAAGTGGGCACATCTGCCCCAGTGGCCACACCTGGCCCCAAGGGCTCTGTCACCATCCCTCCACATCATCCTCGGGCCACGTCTCTGGCGGTGGCCTTGACTCCTCCTGGTCAGATGCTCAGCCCTGCACTGCCAGTCACCCTGGCTGTGGGGGCTCAGGAGCACCCATTCAGTCACAAAGCCCCTCAGACAACAAGCATGGCTCCAGGGCTGCTTCCTGGAGCCACATTGCCAGCCTCTGGAGTTGTGACTATGGCGGCAGGAGTGGCCCGTACAGTGTCAGTTGTCCCACAAGAGAGCACCACACAGAAAATGACCATCATGTCTGAGCACGTGTCCCTGCCCACTTCCGTCTATGGCTCCGGCAAGGGGGTGCCCACCGGGTTTACAGCAGCCATGGCCCATACTCTTGCTCCCTTGGTGACTGAGGCTGAGGTCCCATGGGCTGGTGCAGGGTCGCCAGTGCCCACATCCCATGCCCTAAGCTGGGTCTCAGCCAGGACAGCCTCCCGGGAGAGCTCACTGGTTCTGCTGCCTCAACTGGTGGAGGCCCATGGAACCGCAGCAGGACCCCAGCCTCCACTGGTGTCCATGGGTGAGGCCACCACGGAACAGTCTGGGCGCTCAGCCCCAGCACATGGCATCGCAGCGGGTTTAGCTGAGACCTCAGCAACCACCCTTGAGGCCAACACTACCACCTGTGTTGTGAGTGACCTGTTGGGGTTGTTCCCGTCTGTAGACCCTCCCTCCACGCCTTCCCTCCCCTGTGTCCCTGGCCACTGCAGGCTCATGCTCCTGGGCCTATCCCTTAACCAGCAGCCAGGCTGCAAGATGGAGATGGACGCACTGTATGCATGCCAGCCCTGCTCTCCTGGTGCTCCTCTGGGACCCTGAAGCCACAGCAGGCCCTTTCCTGCCCATCTGGGCCCAGGGTGCTGCTCAGATGGGTGGTGTTATGCCTAGGGTGTGATAATGAGGTTATGTCTGTGATAATGGGTGCTCACTGTGCCCAAGTGCCTGCGCTGAAGCTGCGTGTGAGTTCACATGTTAGACTTGAAGTGAGTGTGTGTGTGTGTGTGTGTGTGTGTGTGTGTGTGTGTGTGTATGTGGCGCATGCCCAGTGGGTGGAGGGTGAGGCACCATTCCCTACTGGACTTGCAGTGTTGCAGCAGGCTTAGCACTGGGGAGGAGGCTGCAGCCTTCTGGGTAAGCACTCTTCTGTTCTTCTGCTCTGTGCCCCAGCCCATCTCTGAACAGGACTGTGTCCGCCACATCTGCATAGAAGGCCAGCTGATCCGTGTGAACCAATCAGAGCACTGTCCCCAGAGTGCCAGACGCCCTCGCTGTGGGGTCCTGGGCCTCGCAGTACGGGTGGGCGGGGACCACTGCTGTCCCCTCTGGGAGTGTGCCTGTGAGTCATGGGTCAGCTTTTGTGTACCCCAACCCCTTATCCCAGCGTGACCTGTACCCTTGGTCTGTGTGCTCCTCCACCTCCCCTTCCTCGGGATCTCTCATCCCTCTGGTCTGGCAGATTCTCCACCCTGTACCCTCTATCATCTGTGAGGTGTCTTGTCCAAGGGATCTCTCACCCCCAGGGCTCTGAATCACCCAGTTGCCCCATGTTCCTAGGTGTCCTTGGCCTCGGAGGCATCGATCCACCTTGTACCTTGCCCCTGTCCGCAGGCCGATGCTCAATCTTCCCTGACCTCAGCTTCGTGACCTTCGATGGGAGCCATGCAGCCCTGTTCAAGGAGGCCATCTACATCCTCAGCCAGAGCCCAGATGAGATGATCACCGTGCACGTCCTCGACTGCAAAAGTGCCAACCTGGTGACTGCCCCTTGCTTCCTGCTCTGCCAGGCTTAGCAGGGAGACGGGGCAGTGAAGCTGGGTCTGGAAGGGTGCCAGAGGTGGGGACAGACGTGGAAGCCCTCATAGCAGCCGCTCTCTTTACCTACCTCCATCTTCCCAGAGTAGTCACAGTCTACCTGTGGCAGGCCAAGGGACACATTCCCTGGGTGGCCATGGGAAAGAGTTGAGCAGAGAGCGCCACCTCCTGGGTCGGCCTGGGCCCTGCACAATTCACAGTCTATCAGCTTTCTAGGATCTCTGGGATGGCACAAGGCTGATGCCTGTGATCATGGGTGTCAGCTGCCTGGCATCACTCAGTAGGACGCCCCTGAGAGCCAGGTGGAGGGAGGCAGCTTTTGCCTTTTTTTTCATGCCAGGTTTTCATGAAATCAGGGAGAGCAGTGATGTTCCAGGGATTCTGTGCTCTGTGCACACATCCCCGAGAATATACTCATCCTCGCTGTACCTATTTATTGGAAGGGGGACTCGGGGCAGGACCCTGGGCTTATGAGAAGGATTCTCTCTTCAGGGACACCTGAACTGGCCCCCGTTCTGTCCTGTGATACTGAACGTGACTCACCTGGCCCACCAAGTCACCACTGACCGCTTCAACAGGAAGGTGAGTGCATCAAAGAGGCAGCCTGCAGGGTAGGACAGCAGTCTCTGAGGGACAGAATATCAGGGGTGGTGGGGGTCCTCAAAGCTTGGTCATGGTTGGGGACAGAGGTGGAAAGAGGATTTTTGAAAAATACGAAATAAGACATATTTGGAAGTTATTTTAATTAGGGTGTTTGTGCTCACCCTGACAACCAAGGAGGAGCAGTACCAGGAAGGATGTAAGCAAAGTCCAAGTGGTAAGAGACAGTGTTCAATAAGTGCTGGTGGAAATATCTCACTTTTGCCATTAAAAAGAAAAAACCTGTGGCCATACGCACACATTGTAAGTGCCCCTTTCAAGAAGGGAGCTGTAGATTTTGGGAATGCCTGTGTTCAAGCTTCAGGAATTTGACTTAAATCACCTCCGTCAGTGAGGAGGAGTGTGGCGGGCGTCTGCTCCTGCTACTTCCACAAGCATGCAAGGGCAGGTCTGTGTCCTCCTCCCGACCCGCGGTCATGACTTTCCCCCAGTTCCTGGGCCCAGATTCGAAGCTTTCTTTTGAACCCTGCCCTGATTTTCAAGCACAAGGTCATCCCACCAGAGCTCTCAGAAATGCCTCAAGACAGTGTATCACAGGATGGGCGCTTATGCGGGAAGTTCTGAGTTTTCTTAGTTTTTAAATCTTTATTAAAATATTAAGAGCTAATTTACATATGTAAATGCCTTTTGTTTAATCTACAATTCTGTAAGTTTTAGTAAAGACCTATGGTCCGTAACCCTCAGTTGTGATAGAGAACAGTTCTGTCATGCCAACCATGGGTGAGTGTCACTATATACTCTTTGGTTCAATTTGGGTGACACAATGGAAAAAGCAACACCACAGTAAAAGGAGACAGTGGTTCTCACAAGTTGAGAGGAGGCACCGGCAACACTGATAGTAATTCATGTCTCCTCTCCTTGCTGACTAGAGCTTTGTCAAGTTTGTCATTCTTCTCAAAGAATGAATTTATAGGTCTTATTTTTGTTATTTATCTGTATTTGTCATTAATAATAAATTGCATTTGTTTTGGAGATATACGCTTTATTATTTTGATAGCCTCCATTTTATTGATTCCTGCTCTTGTTTATATTATATTATTTCTCACTGCTTATTTCGGATTTAATTTACTCTTCTCTAGTTTATTAAGTGGATGCCTCAGTCATTGATTCCAGGTCTTTTTTCTTTAGCCAGGATAAGTATATACTGTTACAATTTATCCTCTAAGAAAGTACTGACTTAAATACAGCTTATGACTGAATCCAACTGTACTGATTCAACAACTTACATGCTGGGGGTTTTCTGTTTGTTTGCTTTTCATCAGTTCAAATTTCTTTTAAATATCCCTTTTGATTTTTATTTGACCCATGGATTGTGTGTTTTATTTAGCCTCCAAATGCTTGGTGGTTTTCCAAATAATTTTCTGTCAGTGATTGCTCACTTAGATCTATTGTGTTCAAATAATGTAAGTTGTCCAATCTGGATCCTTTTAAATTTACTGACACTTGTGCTAGGTTCCAGAATATACCCTTTCTTAGTAAACGCTACTTTATTGTTTTGTTTTGTATTGTATTGTTGGTGAGACGATTCTTTGAATGTCAGGTCAAGTTGGTAGATAGTATTCAAGCCTTTAAATCTTTGCTTTCTGTTTTCTTGTCCTATCAATTACTGTGGGAGAGAGAGATGACATTGAAATACTTTGTTGTAATTGTTTAGTTCTCCTTCAAGTTTCGTAAGTTTTTATTCATGTATTTTGAAATTCAATAAAACATTTAGATTTGTTTTGTCTTCTTTTTTTTTGTTGTTGTTTTGTTTTGTCTTTTTCCTTTTTATCGGTACCGGGGATCGAACTCACGACTGCCTGCTTGCAAGGCAGCTGAGCTAAATCCCCAGCCTCCTGTTTTGTCTTCTTGATGTTAGCCTTCTTATCCTTATGAAATGAATTTTAAAAATTCTAGCAATGTCTTTGTTCTGATTTTTACTTTAACTTTTCTACAATAGCTTCCTTCGCTTTCTTTCAATTAGTATTAGCATATATATAATGTGTATATAATATTTATATAATTTATATCTAGTGATATTCATGTTTTTACCTGTAACCTATTTGTGGCTTTTTATTTAAAGTGAGATTTCTGTTAGAGAGTGAACAATTAGGCTTTCCTTCCTTTTTTAAAAAAAATCCAGTCTAATAATCTCTGTCTCTTAATTGGTGATGTTTAGACCATTTACATTTAATTAGATCATCAACATGATTAGGTTTATGTATATTATATTGTTATTTGTTTTTTATTTGTTTCACCTAGTCCTTGCCCTCTCCTTTTCTCTCTTTTTTGTCTTGAGGATTGTTTTTGATGATTCTATTTTATTTCTTATGATGGATTATTACTGTGCTTTTTAAATGTTTTCTCTTTGAGTGGTTGCTTTAGGGATTATAGTATATAATTTTAGCATGTCACAATCTAGCTGCAAGCAGTGTTATACCACATCTCACGCAGCATATGGCCTTTATAACAGTATATTTCCGTTTTCTCTCTTGCAGTCTTTGTGCTTTTGCTATCATTCTTTTTACAGCATTTGTTACAAGCTTCAAAGTGAAATTGCTCCTAAATATCCAGTTATTGCCTAAGGTGATCTTATATGAAAGATTTGTATTTATCCACATATTTACCATTTCTGGTATCCTTTATTCCTTTGCATAGATTTGAATTTCCACTGGATAGCACTTTTGTTCTGTTTAAAAGACTTCTTTTATTACTATTGTATTGAAGGTCTATTGGTGATAAATTCTTCCAACTTTTGTTTGTATGAAAAAGTCTTGATCTTATTTTAATGTTAAAAATGTTTTCACCAAAAATTTTTTTTAAGTGTTTTCACCTGGTGTAGAATTACAAATTAACACTTGTTCAGGACTTTAAAGATTTTTGCTTCCCTGAAATTTTTTAAAATTGAAGTGACATTGAAAAAACCGTACAATTAAAAGTGACATTCAGTGCATTCACAGTATCACCTCTATCTAGTTTCAAAACATTTTTTCCACTCTAAAAGGAAACCTCATGCCCACCAAGCAGCTTTTCTCCCTTGACCTCCCCTTTCAACCTCTATCAACCACAAATCTGCATTACTATCTATGAATTTGCATATTCTGAACATTTCATAAACAAAGCCCTGCAATATGTTATCTTTTGGATGTGACTTTTTTCACTTAGCCTCGTGTTTTTGAGATTTTGCTGCACTGTAGCATGTATCAATATTTCATTCATTTTCATGACTGAATAATATTATCTATGCAGTATATTATTCGTCCATTCATTCTTCCATTAGTGGACAGTTGGGCTGTTTCCACATTTTGGCTGCTGTAAATAGTGCTGGTATGAAGTTTCACTATCTTTTGCCTTGAATATTTTGGATAAGAGAATTTTTTTTGACATTCTTGCCTTTGTTCCTCCGTGTATACTGCCCCAGCCCCTGCTACTGTTAATTTTCATATTTTCATGGCTTGAGGAACTTGGTTATGGTATTCCTGGTAATTCTTTTCTCTTTCTAGAGTTCAAATTACCTGTATTTTTGGATACTCATTGCTCTCCTGCATATCGTTCATATTTTTTTGGCATTTTTCTTTCTGTGTTTCACTTTAGATTATAAGCATTGTTCTATGTTAATTGATCCCTTCATCTGCAGTGTCTAAGAGGGTATTTTTCTCTTCAGGCATTGTATTTTCATCTCTAGAAGTCTGACTTGAGTTTCTTTCATATCTTTGGCATATCACCTCAGCATAATTATGTTTTCCTTTACTTTCTCAAACACGTAGGATACAGTTGTGATCACTGTGTTTTAGTCCTTGTCCACTAGTTCTATCATATGTGTCATTTCTTGGTCAGTTCTGACTTATTTTCTTTGCTTTGCTTATCAGTTACATTTTCTTGCTTCTTTATGTAACTGACATTTTTTATTGAATTTTAGACATTGTGAATTTTACTTTGCTGGATAGCCTTTTGTTTTTTAAAATATTCTTGGGCTTTATAACATTTATGCTACCTAGGAATGGTTTGATCATTTTGCCAGAGTAGCCTTTATTCTAAATGAAATTTTACCATATGTTTCGATCTACATATTGATTCCTCAATATTGAAGCGTACCTTTCTGTATTCCTTACCCTATATTCTGTATTTTTCTATGCTCCTCTCTCTAGGTGGTGGTAGCTCTAGCTATTCCCAGCACCGTGTTAGCTGTAAGAATGTTTTCTTTGTTTCTTTCAGGTGGATTTCTGCTAGTCTCTGGTAGTTTTCTCACTTGCACAAATTGATCAGTATTCAACTGAAAATTTAGAACAGTATCATTGAGTGGATAGAAGGTTACTCTCTACAAAGCCTCAGAGCAGTGCTCTCTCTTTCTCTCTCTCTCTCTCTCTCTTCAGTATTCTGCACCGCACACTGATAATTGGGCCCTCATGAACCTCAGATTCAACAAAACCTCTAGCCTCTACCTGGGTCCTTCATCCCTTTACTGTGGCCTAGAATCTCTCTAAGCAGTAAACAGTCGTACGGCTCATCTAGCTTGTTACCCTCTTTTCAGGGATTGCTTTCCTGCACCACCACCTTCTTAACACCTAAATGTTGCTTCCTGTGTTCTGTGAGGTTTTAGTTGTTTAGGCAAGAGGATAAAGCCAGTTCTTATTACTCCATCTTGGTCAAAAGAAGTCCAAGGCTTTTGTCCTTGTTTGGATCCAGGTGAGGCTCTGTGGGCTTTGGATATGGAATGCACTCCCAGAACACGGAGTATGTTAGTGGATCATGGAATCTGAGTCCCTGGCATGCAGTGAATGGGAAGGCTTGGGCTATATGAGGACCAAAGACCTGCCAATTGTCACAAAGTGTTTTGATTCATAGGCTGGGGCTCCCTGTACTCCAACATAGTAGCTCATGCACTGGATAATTTGCAAAGTGATTAATCAAACAGTCTATTCCTGAAGGGAGACAGTTAAGTCATAATACATATTTTATAATCTTAATCTTTTCCTCCCAGTTTTATAGCATAAAATTTATAATACATGATACATGCAAATTTAGCTTTGTCAGTATATAGAAAAATTATATCTTTGGATTTAAAATGTTTATGAGAATTAGAGTGTGTTGAATATTCAACAAATGTTGATTGAACTTCCAATTTATGTCATTCCAAAGGCAGATATTGGCACAAAGAATCAGACATAGTTTCTACCCTTAAGAGACTCACTGTCTGTTGGGGACCTTGAAAATGGGCAGATAGATTTTGTCTTAATGGTTAGCACAGAAACGAGAAGACCCTAGAGAAAGGGTATCTGACCTTAAAGCTGAGGACTGAGGGGAAATCTACCAGAAGAAATGACCTGAACAGAATCAGGAAAGGTTACAAAGGTTTAGGGTTTATGTTTATGCAGATGTCAAGGTGAAGCCTGTCTCCTGTGGTTGCATTTCCTGTATTATTGTTTATTGCTCATAAAAATATCTTCAGAATTGCCCGTGCCACCTTAGACTGTATCTTGGATGCATGTGTTGGAAACAGAGCCTAACACATAGTAGGTGTCCACAGATGCTTGTCAGATGATGGATGGACAGATGGATAAATGAAAGAATGCATGGACAGACTGCTTGATTAATGGACAAGCTGTGCTCATACAGAACTTCCCTCCTCTCAAGGTGATTGTGGACACACAGCCTGTGCGGCCACCTGTGAGCAGGTACGGTTTCCAAATCGAGGACACAGGCCACATGTATGTGATCCGGACACCCTCAAACATCCAGATCCAGTGGCTACACAGCTCAGGACTCATGATCCTGGAGGCCAGCAAAGCCAGCAAGACCCAGGGCCGTGGCCTATGCGGTGAGGGTGCCCCATTTGGTGGCAGGGGAATGCTTCCCTGGTCCATCCTTGCCATAAGACATAGATTCCCCTGGACCAGGAGATGCTGGGGTACAGGTCAGAGGTGAAACCAGCAGAGCTTCAGGTTATGGGGGAGTGGTGATGTCTTGAGTTCTGGGGCTGATGCTGCTAGTAGGAAGATGGTGCTGGACCCTGCTCTCAGTCAGCTGTCACTGCAGCCAGGACTGCCTGTCAGCTTCACTGAAGCCCTCCATACACCTTCCAGTCTGTGTGTGCCTGGGCCCTTCATAAAGCATTTCCACACTCTGAGCTCACTTATGCCAGGTCATCTACCAACAGCCCAGAGAGGTGCCCTTAGTATCCCCACTGAACTAAAGAAGAAAGGGGGCTCAGAGAGGTTATGCGACTGACTGTAGCATGACCCAGAGAGCATGATTAGCCAGGGTGCAGGGGCACAAAAGGAACTAGGGGTATTCTGCCCGTGAGCACTCAGCCACATGTAAAGGAGGCTGGGAAAAAGTACCTGACTCCAGGAGGAAGAAGACATAGATATTAAATGAGACTCTTTCGGGCTAACTTTTTATTTTGATGTATCAGTGGGGATAATACTGACACTGTCCAAAGAGTTGCTGTGATTAGCTCTGTGTGTGACAGTGGAAGACCTGGGAGTGCTGGGGACTTGGTATTGCTGGGATAATAGTGCCCCTTTCAGGTATCTGTGATGGAGATGTTGCCAATGACCTCACCCTGAAGGACGGCTCTGTGGTGGGTGTGGCTGAAGACCCTGCCCCCTTTCTGGACAGCTGGCAGGTGCCCAGCTCCTTGACCTCAGTAGGCCAGACTCGTTTCCGCCCAGACAGCTGTGCCACGGCTGACTGCTCGCCCTGCCTTCGCATGGTGTCCAATCGCACCTTCAGTGCCTGCCACCGTTTTGTATGTGTCACCTGGGTCTCCTGCGGGGACACCTCTGGGACTTGGGAGGGCAAAAGCCACCATCGGAGGCTCATGGTTTCCCCTGGGCAGGGTTGGGAGGAGCTGGGCACAGATTTGGGGCACCAGGGGAGGCAGCACTGCCTTCTGCCTGTGCCCAGGTCTCCCCGGAGTCATTCTGCGAGCTGTGGATCCGGGACACCAAGTATGTGCAGCAGCCCTGCGTGGCACTGACTGTGTACGTGGCCATGTGCCACAAATTCCATGTGTGCATCGAGTGGCGCCGCTCTGATTACTGCCGTGAGTTGGAGTCCCGGGACCCCCTCCTCCAATGGCACCGTTATTCCCGGTGGTCTCTGTTAGGGTGTGTAAGGGCTCCAGACCCAAGTTTCGTCTCTGCTCCCTCACGTTTATTCACTATTCATTGATTTATATTAATACGTTTATCATTTATTTTTAGTTGTTACAGAAGTATTTCATGAGGAGGCTGCTTAATAACTTGAATTACAATTGATAAATATAAGCACTAATTTTGTCTTGTTGTATTTAAGTTCCTAACCTATAAAATGAGGACAGTAATGACACCTCCCTCCTGGAGCTGTCTTGAAGACAATAATGCCACAATGTTACTCTCAGTAAATATTAGTTTCCTTATCTTAATTTTTGCTCATTTCCCCCCTTTTTGGTCTCTTTTCCTTCCTTGAGGATGAAATATGATCCACCTCCTTCTCATCCCTGCTAGGTAGTGAGATAAGCAGGGGTCACCTGTGCTAAAGCAGACAGATTTCTGAACATGAACACATCCGGAAAGACTCGTGGGAAGACCACACCCAAAACATACAACCAAAAACCAGGAAAACAACACATACCAATCACTGATTTTTCCCACTGGAAATCTAACACAGGGAGTATGAAATCAATTAGGGAGCAGCAAAAACATTTTAAAATGCAATGGAATATAAAATGCTAGTACATATGGTATATAGGAAGATTAAGCATAAGTTCATGAAAAATATTTTTTTGGTCAACGGTTTTTAATCTCAGCTACCCTTTTGAGTCACACAGGGACAGCAAAAGTTCTAATGCTTGGTCCCAGTCAGTTTCAGATGGCCTGTGGGGGTCAGGGTCCTGCGGAGGTTTTTACAAGTTCCCAAGTGATTCTTCTACAGTCAGGTTAGAGGTCAGTCCCCTGTTCTGCAAGCTACCATGTCACATCTGCTCCTCGTAGTCAAGACAGTTTGACAATGATCTAGAGCCAGAGAACACTTTCTTACAAAGACCAAATCATCAATATTGGGGCTTTGTGGGCTGCACCGTCTCTGTCACAAAGGCTTCACTCTATCCTTGTAAGACAGAAACAGCCACAGACAGTGTGCAAAAGAACAAACATGGCTGTGTTCCAATAAAACTTTATTTGCAAAGTCACAGCAGTTGGAATTTGGACTGTGGGCTGTACTTTACTGATCCCAATAGGCAGCAAGGAGAGGGACACAAGAGGGAAACGAGGCTGATGGGTTCTCTGCTGAGGGCAGCCTGAGAGCCCTTCCCACCCTTTCTGCTCCCTTTCTGCTCCCTTTCTGCTCCCTTTCTGCAGAACGGTGCACGGAGCCTTGCTGTGGTCTGAGCTGGGCCCCTGCCCTCTGTCCCTGCAGCTTTCCTGTGCTCAAGTGAATCCACATATCAGGCATGTGTGGCAGCCTGCGAGCCCCCCGACACATGCCAGGATGGGTTGCTGGGGCCTTTGGACCCAGAGCAGTGCCAGGTGCTGGGCGAAGGCTGTGTCTGTGCCGAGGGCACTATCCTGCACCGGCGTCACTCTGCACTCTGCATCCCTGAAGACAAGTGTGGTAGGTCCTCCCTCCCTGTGGCTCCTCCAGCATGAGCCTCACCTGGGGTCCCCTTGCAACCTGCAGCCCACAGCTGGGGCCCCTCAGGGTCCTTCTGAGTCTAGGCTGGGGTGGGTGGTCAGTATCCCATTGAGTGTTTAGCCTGGGACAGTTGGATTCTGCCTCTACCCTCAGTCCCCTGAGCCCCAACATGTGCCCACTGCAGCCTGCACCGACAGCACAGGGGTGCCGAGGGCTCTGGGTGAGACCTGGAACAGCTCTCTCAGTGGCTGCTGCCAGCAGCAGTGCCAAGCACAAGACACCATTGTCCCAGTGGACCTGGACTGCCCAGGGCCCCGGACTGAGAGTTGTCCACGCTTCGGGGAGGTGATCCTGCTCCTGCCCACTGAGGACCCCTGCTGCCTGGGGACTGTCTGTGGTGAGTCCTACCATAATTTCCCTGGCCCTCAACCCTGAAACAACTGAAAGGCATACACCCAAAGCTGGGCATGGTGGTGCACATTTGTAATCCCAGTACTCTGGGAGGATGATTGCAAATTCAAGCCCAAGCAAGGTGACTTAGGTATTTGGCAAAACCTTGGAAAGAGAGAAAGAGAGACAGAGACAGAGACAGAGACAGAGACAGAGACAGAGACAGAGGCAGAGAGAAAGAGAGAGAGAGACAAGAAAGAAAAGAGAGAAAGAGGAAGAGAAAAAAGAGAGAAAAGAGAAAGAGAGAGAGAAAAGAGAGAGAGAGAAAAGGCAGGCAATGTAACTCAGTCCAAAGCCCTGGGTTCAGTTCTCAGACACACATACCTACAGAGCTCCACCCTTTCCCAACCTTGATGGTCAGGACAAGTCCCAGGAAAACTAAAGCATCTTGTGAGGAGTGAGCCAGGGAGGTGGAGAACTGAGCTTGGGGGCACAGGAGCCAAGATGGTCATCCAGGGCCTGGGTAGTGGTAGAGAACAGTGGGATGTCCCAGCCTCCAGGTGACAGGCCTTGTGGCCCTTGGGCCAGTGTGTAACCAGACTTTGTGTGAGGGCCTCGCCCCTACCTGCCGCCCAGGCCACCGATTGCTCACACACTTCCAGGAGGACTCCTGCTGCCCCAGCTACAGCTGCGGTGAGAGGCATGGGGAGAGCGGGGAGGGCCCAGGGCTGCTGGGGATGGCTCTGAAGACTGGTTGCAATCAGGCAGGGCTGAGTGTGGCCCACAGGCCGTGTTATCAGCACCTACATTCATTCTGTCCTTTCTCCAGAGTGTGACCCCGACCTGTGTGAGACAGAGCAGGTCCCCAGTTGCCGCCAGGACCAGACTCTGATTGCGGGCCGCCTGGGGGACTCGTGCTGCACCTCCTATTTCTGCAGTGGGTGGACGCCTGCAGCTACCATCCCCCTCCTCCCCTCTGCTTCCCTAAGCTGCTGGGAGGAAAGGCTGAGATCTTTTCGGGAGTGGGGCATGGAAAAAGCTGGAACCACTGTTCAGACCGGCATGGGGTGAACAGGAAATAGACCGTGTCACCCCAGGTCACTGAGCATGATCACTGGCTCAGGGCCCCATTTGAGGCAGACATGGGGTGCTGCTTTCAGTTTTGCTCCGGCTACATGTAGCCCGTTGAGGTCCCCCTCCCACCCCAGGGACCTGCTGCATTCCAAGCCCTTGATGGGTCTCCTGTGACAGTGGGGACCCCTCTTGCCCCTCAGCCTGTGGTGACTGTCTGGATCCCATCCCCGAGTGTCAGGAAGGAGAGGCGCTCACTGTGCACAGGAACACCACGGAGCTCTGCTGCCCGCTGTACCAGTGTGGTGGGTCCTGGCGGGTGTGGGGAGGGGTCTCGAGGCCCTTTCTGTGCAACACCCAGACCCCTGAAGTAGCCCTGCAAGGAGGCTTTGGGGAGCCCACACTCCTCCAGGGACCACAGGTCCTGGGTGTCTCTGAGGGACAGCTGGGAGGAACCCACCCTTGGCCAGTGCTGCCTCCTGGGGATTCACGTTCCGAAATGTCTGTGACTCATGTGTCGCCCCGTCCCACCTGCAGTGTGTGAGAGCTTTCGCTGCCCCCAAGTGCAGTGTGGCATGGGCACTGCTCTGGTGGAGGTGTGGAGCCCAGACCGCTGTTGCCCCTACAAGTCCTGTGGTAAGTTCCAGTGGGGGCGGATGGCACCTCCTCAAGTTGAATTCTAGGACCAACCCCTGTTACTTCTCCGAGATTGGACATTTCTTACATTTGCACTCCCAGATCTCTCCAAGGGAACTTCCTCCTCCCACATCTCTCTCTAAGTGTGTCTACAGCCTTCTCTTCAAAATAAAAGGAGAAGAAAAAAACAAGCTCCCGATTCCAAAAATGTTTTTAAAAAAGTCCTTATTGCAAGCCAGGTGTGGTGGCACATGCCTGAAATCCTAGCCCTAGAGAGGCTGAGCAGGAGGATCACAGTGAGTTCGAGACCAACCTGGGCTACATAGTGAGTCCAAGACCAGCTGGAACTGTCTCAAAAAAGCAAAAAAATAACTAAAAATAAACATTTTTATTGCAACCTCCTGATGGTACATATCATTAACATTCAACACCCCTCCCTTGCAAAGGCCAGCGAGGACACCAATGATCAGTAATTAAAACTGGTGAGCTTCACATAAGAACGTTATTTTAAAAAGGTCCCCTGGCTCTCTAGCTACTCTTTTTCCAGGCTCACTACATGCTCCAGACACAAGGCCGGGATTTGGGTTATTCCTTGCTGTGTCCTCAGAGCACAGGTAAAAGCCCAGCACACAAAGCAAGCTTCAGGAGTGTTTCCTGCTGCTGCACTGGCCTGCAGTTTGGGCCTCTGAGCTAGAGCTTCGAGGCCCTTAGGTTTGTCAGTGTTGTCACAGCTTAGGCCTGCTCCCCAGAAAGCCCTGGGACAGTGACGCTGAGTCGGCTGGAAAGCAGAGTCAGCAGTCCCGCGTTGTCCTGTTTATTCTTGGACAGGCCCTGCTAGGGAGGGATAAGCAGAGCTGGGAGGCTCTGTCTGCCTGATTCTCGGTGCTTCGCCCCCAGAGGACTCACCACTGCCCACGGGCCCTGCAGGGGAGCTGCAGCCGCCATGCAGGGGTGGATGGAGGCTGAGTTTGGCCTCACCTCACTCCCCCAGGCCTGGGCTGGGGCTATATTGCGGAAGAGGCAGCCCCTTCCTCCCTTCTGCTTCCTACCTGGGCCCCTTCAGTGAGTTGAGTCCTATTCCCTCTTGTTTTTCAGAATGTGACTGCGACACCATCCCGGTGCCCCGGTGCCATCTGGTATATTTACCCTGACTTTCCCTGCCCTCCATAGTCTGTGCCCCTTCCTCCCCACCCCAGATACTATTCCTTTAATCTGGTGAAAAGCAGCTGGGTGTGGTGGCCTGTAAACTGCTCTCTGGGAAACTTAGGCAGGAGGACTGCAAGTCAAGTTCAGCCTGGCCAACTTAGTGACTTAGTGAGACCCTGTCTCAAAACACACAATCAAAAGGCCAGGGATGTAGTTCTGTATGGAGGCCCTGTGTTCAACCCCCAGGAAGAGAGAGAGCAAGAGAGAAAAAAGAGAGAGAGAAAACAGAGGAGAAAGAGAGGGAGACAGAGAAAGAGAGAGAGGGAGAGGGAGAGAGGGAGAGAGGGAGAGAGAGAGAGGGGGGGAGAGAGAGAGAGAGAGAGAGAGAGAGAGAGAGAGGGAGAGATTGAATTCCTGCCCAAGCCCTGCACTAGCTTTCTGGAGACTGTGCCCTTCTTTGTCAAACAGGCAAGGATGCTGATGACGTCAGGAGGGTAGAGCCAGTGAAGACGGTGGTGGTAGTGGTGACAGTGGGTGGCGAGGATGATGAGGAGGTTGATGCTGACAGATCTGGCAGTAACTAGGCAGGAGCTCATGTTTATTGAGGTTTTTCTATGTGAACAGAACCTCCCCAGACCTTTTGCATTGTTTACCATGTTCATTTTCACAGCCACCCTGAGAGATCAGTTGTGTGCTTGTAGCAGTCACACAAACAAGAAAGCTAGAGTTAAGTTCATGAAACTAGAAAGGCACAGAACCAGGGTTTGATCAGGGGTTCTGACCCCAGACACCATGTTCTAACCCTCGTTACACAGCCCCAGGGGAAAGGGAGAATAAGAAACATAGGTGATATCAGGTCACTTTCCGGGTCCACATGCACTCTTGCTGGATCCCAGCACCACTTCCTTTCGTTTTGTTTTCTTCTTCATCCTCTTGTTTCTGAAACTGGCGAAGAAAGACAGGAACTGTCGGGGTCCCTCTCTGAGGGAGGGAGGACATGGAGAATATCCCCAGAAGGGAGGCTTGGGTGTGGGGAGCATGACTCAGAAAGGGACCCAGCTGCAGGCTGCTCCCTATCGGGGGCTGGGACCCCCACCCCAGTGCTGACTGCCTCTGCCCACCCAGTGGGAGAAGTCCCAGCTGGATGAGGACTTCATGAACAGCGAGGAGAACATGTGTGGCTGCGCCAAGTACCAGTGCGGTGAGTGGGCAGGGAGGGGGGGTCCCAGGGGAACAGAGCCAGGGTGTGTGAGTCTCCAGTGGGCCAGCTAGACATGGGCGGTGGGGTCACTGGGCTCATGGTGACTGCATTGTCCTGCTCGTCTCCAGTGAAAGCCCCCGTGTGTCTGAGCCGTGAGCTGGGGGTGCTGCAGCCAGGCCAGACGGTGGTGGAGCTCTCGGCAGATGGCGTGTGCCACACCTCCCGCTGCACAGACGTGCTGGACCCCCTCACCAGTTTCTACCAGATCAACACCACCTCGGTGTTGTGTGATGTCCACTGCGAAGCGGTAAGGACAGCGCAGGCCGGGGCACAGCAGGGTCAGGAGAGTTGGCCTGGTGGATGCTAGCTTCTCCAGAAATAAGGAGGGCCCTCTAGCTTGCTCCAAGCTGTCCAGGCAAGTCTAGACAGTGGGTACTCTGGAAAGGACCAAGGTTGGAGAGGCCAGGAGGAGAGAAGCAAGAACAAAGGATTAGATTTCAGGCCTGTTATGCACAGGTGTCTGATAGAGAGGACACACATTTACTAAGTACCTCCTGAATGCCTGGCACGGTCCCTATCCTTTCGGTATATGTGTTTGTGTTACAACCATTTGTAAGGCCCAGGACTGAGGGCAGGGACTGCCTTCCAGTAAGAGCCAAATAAATTGCTTAAATACAGGTGTTAGAATTATTCCCAACTTTCAGATAAGAAAATTGAGATTTAGTCATTTTTCAAAAGTCCCACTGGAGCCAAGACTCAAACTGAGGTCTGTCTAAAAAGTCAACTGGCCTCAATTATGAGAAAGCCACTTCTGGAGGTGAGGATGCCTCTAGACTCCAGGAATAAGGAGACTTAGAGTAGGGACGGGGCCTACCTGCCCGTGCATCAGAGACAGGAGGCTGAGGTTCCATTCCTGAGTCTCCCACAGGGGTCTTCCCAGGCTGTGGGCCTTCAGAGACAGGTGGACAGCACAGAGGTGGAGGACGCAGGTGTCACCCAGGTGATGCCAGGCTGTCCCGCCCCGGCCCACAGAACCAGGAGTACGAGCATCCCCGGGACCTGGCAGCCTGCTGCGGCTCCTGCAGGAATGTGTCCTGCCTCTTCACCTTCCCCAATGGCACCACATCCCTGTTCTTGGTAAGCAGCCCCAAGAAGATGTCCCAGAAGGGGATGCTAGGACCAGGGACCTCTCTGGCTCACATGCTAGAGCTTTGCACAGGTGCCAGGGTCCTGGGATGCCCCTGCCCTTGGGGTCTGCCATGCACATGAGCACAGGCCCCTGGTGCTCACTTCTGTGTCCTGCAGCCTGGGGCATCCTGGATCGCAGACTGTGCCCGCCATCACTGTGGCAGCACACCCCTGGGTGCTGTGCTTGTCCGCTCGCCCATCAGCTGCCCACCGCTCAATGAGACTGAGTGTGCCAAGGTAAGTGCCTCCTGAACCCACAATGTGGCCTCAGCCAAGGCCTGGGGCTGTGTCTCTAGTGGCATTGGAAGTGGGGGAAGGGTCCTGGAGTAAGTCAAGAATGGTGTGTGTTAAACGCTGTAGGAAGAAGGGAGGACCGGCACCATCTTTCCTCAGGCTCTGGCCTCCCAAGGAGGGACTGCAGACAGCCTTAGTGACTAGCCCTCCAGCTCTTCAATGGCCTGCCTGGGTACAGAGCTCCTGCCCTGGGGCATCATGGGGGGAACAGAGTCAATATTCCTAGACTCTTTTTGCTTATTGCTGGGATCTTGGCTCCTGGCCTGAAACAAGATTTTCTCTTCCCACCCCTTTTTTCCCTCTAGGTTGGGGGCTCTGTGGTCCCTTCCTTGGAAGGATGCTGCAGGACATGTGAGTGAGACAGCAGAGGCTCAGGGGTGAGGGGTACTGGGGGCAGAGTGTTATGTCGGGGTCAAGAAGCCGGATTCCTGGCCTGGCACCTATGAGGGCCACTCCCCAGGGTGGACAGAGAAATGGATAACCTCTTGACACAAAGCTCACTGCACTGACGACATATGCAGAGGCCATCCTAGCATCTTTGTCCACATCCAAGCCCTCCATTTCTGGTTGGAGACAGTTGGTAGCTCACGGACACTCTGCTCCTCCTGCCCCTGACAAGGACCCACAGTCCAGATGTCCTCCACATCGATTCTCCTCTGTGGCCAGGAGCCCAGGTCTTGGAGATACCTCCTGGTGGGACTCAGGACTTCCAGTCTCCAGAGGGAATCAGAATGAGAGCTCCGTGTGTCTGTCCCCACACTGAGCTCCCAAGTACCCCGAACCTGTACCAACAACCACATATACACAAATGGACCAGTGAACTTCCCGATATTTGCCCATGTGTCTGCCCTCCTGGGAGGCAGTAGGATGTGGGGCCCTTTTGTGTCCATACCACACACACAAGGACACCTGGGCTCAAGACTTTATTGGGTTCACTGATCCACAACCTTTTGCTTTCTGAATGTTCACTGTGCCCCCATGTGACCTGAGACACATGTCCCTCTCCTCAGGTTCCCCAGGGACCCTGTTTCCTGTGGTCCCCTATAGCTCCGCCTCTCCTCCAAGGGTTAGTGTCCACTGCCACCCAGGTACTTCTCTTGGAAGCGCCAAGGACTAAAGCAGGCATCTGTATTGCTATTTCCACCAATGTCCCCTCCGCTAGGTGGCTCTGAGCTCTGGGGGTGAGGGAGGGAGAGGCCCCTGCTTCCTGCCTCTGGCAAAGACCCTTTGGCCCCAGTGCATGCTGGGTAGTGAGCCAGGCACCCTGGGCTTGCATGGGAATGCTTCAGCAGCACCCACTCGCCTGGAGCCGCCAATGCCCAGTGCCGCCACCGCTTTGCTCCTGCCGTCTCTCAGCCAGTTGCCATCCAGGCCCAGAGGGCTGTGGTGAGAGCAGAACTGAGTTTCCCTGTCTCTCTATGGTGAGGCCTGGCAGCCAGGAGAAGGGATTCCATCCCATTCCCGGTGGGCTTCTTGGCCTCCAGAGGGCAAATATTCCTGGCCTGCATCTGGCAAATATTTACCGAGCCCAGGTGATGTACCAGGCAATGAGCTAGGAATTGCAGGCATAGTACAGATAAGGCCTCTCAGACCTGACACTTTAGTGGGAAAGAGGTACGAACACATCATGGGTTAGAGACACTGAACTGTGTGAGGCGAGCGGCTTATGCCATCTGGGGGAGTTCATTAAAGGAAAAGAGCAGAGCATTACAAATCTACACTGAGGTGTAAACCTCAGTACTTATTTAGAGTGAGAAAAAGACTCACACCAACACATGGAAGGGGTGTACGAAGGAAGACCCTGAGCTTAGCTTCAACATGCAATCACAAATGGCCTCTGAAAGGACAGGAACCGTGCCATGATGATAAAAGGCAAGGAGGGCGCGGGTGGGCTTGGAGGTCTGAGGGGATCAGGACCAGCCTCAGGCAGGGGCTGATGTTAGGAGCACACTGTGACGGAGGTGAGGGTGAGTGTGAGCCTCATGCCTGGGTGTCTGTGGGCAGCATGGTCCAGCCAGAAAATACTCACACTCCTGTTCCCATTCCTGAAGCTCTGTAGTGGGCAGGTCCTACCTCTGTGCGATGGACAAGGAAGTGCCTGCATCTTGCCAGCCACTGGCCTCCCACTAATTCAGGAAACCACAGCATCTCAAAGCTCGAAGCCGTCTCAGAGTGGGAAAACTGCAGGCAGAAGCCATGCTCAAGCATGCTTGTTGGGTTGGGATTGGGTGAGGAGGTAGCGTTCCAGTGTCTCCAAACCCACCTGTTCCCTAGCACAGAGTCTCTGGGCAGCCATTGCAGGCATCTTCTGTGGTTTCGTCGTCTCAGGCACTCACATGCTGTCTCTGCTCACCAACTCCACCTCAGTCCAGAGCACTGGGGAAAAGACCTTCCCCCTGGCAGGGAGAGGCAGCGATGCATGAGTGCTAACCTGGAAGAGGGACCCTCCAGCATGACGCTAACTGCCCCAGGCTGGCCCATCCTGCTGCCCCAGGAAGCACGTCTGGGCGACAGCTGCCTCTCCTGCCCTGTGCCCCCTCTCCCCAGGTAAGGAGGATGGACGCTCGTGCAAGAAGGTGACCATCCGCATGACCATCCGCAAGAATGACTGCAGGAGCAACACACCTGTGCGTGGTGCCCACATGGCGATGGGGCGGGCAAAGATGGGGATGGAAGGGAGCTGGGGGGAAGGGGGATGCTCTCCAGGCTGCCTCACTGGCCTGCCCGTCTCCAGGTGAATCTAGTGTCCTGTGACGGCAGGTGCCCTTCCGCCAGCATCTACAACCACAACGTCAACGCCTATGCCCGCTTCTGCAAGTGCTGCCGTGAGGTGGGGCTGCAGCGGCGCTCTGTGCAGCTCTTCTGTGCCACCAATGCCACCTGGGTGCCCTATACAGTGCAGGAGCCCACTGACTGCGCCTGCCAGTGGTCCTGAGGCTGGGGCCTGGACTTGCTGGGCCACCGCTGCCACCTCACATTCTAGGAAGCCCAGTGTGAATGGGAGAAAGCTGGTCCAAGCTGAGCATGGGATAGTGGGTAGAGGCCCAAGAAGGGCCAGCACTGGCCATACTTACCCATCCTGGCTCCCTCTGCTTGCCTCTCCACCTCCAGGCATGGGACAGTGCTCAGCTCTGTCCCTGGCTTGAAGTCTGGCATGGGCTGCACATCTGTGACTGTGGCCATGGCTCTTGGTGAGAGGAGTGAGAACTTCCTAGAAACTGGGTCCAAAGTTGACCCCGAATCCAAGCACGGGATCAGGATGTGGTGGCCTTTTTCTTTTTTAGCCTTTTCAACCACAGGAGAAACATGGACATGGAGAAAGGAAAAGGGGATTTAACTGCAGCATCAGCTATGCAGAGGCACCCAAGAAGACTTCCCCAAAACAAAGAAGGTGGACTTACGGACCAAGGTCCTCCTGCAGAGATGTTTGAGAGCAGGGGCAAAGACTGGGGAGAGGACGCTGACTGTCAAGTTTCCTCCCCCTTCAAGAGGGGTGCGCAATATTCCGGTATTGACCTTGTAACTCAGGAAGGATTTAGAAGGGTGGACACGAGACTGTGTCTCCATGTGCCACCCCATGACTCCAAGCCACCTGTCCCGGAAGAGGGGCCATCTTGTGGGTTGGTGGTGGGAGGAATTATTTCCTCAACAAGGGTCCAGCAGTGGTCATCTGGAGTTGGGGACAGTCCACCCGCGGCTGTGTGATGAGTACTCTAAGCCTGCAGTTGCAGCTCCTGACTCTGCAGTGTGCTTTTTCTCCAAGGACACAGGAGAGTTGGTCTCTGGAGGGCTCGAGGGTGTCTTTTGTATTCTGTGGGAGTGTTTAGTGAGGGAGCATCTGGCAGTGGAACATGCAGCCCTGTGCATGTGCAACCAGCGTCCCCCAGGACCTGCCAGAGGCCTGTTTCCAAACCACAGTGCCCTCCCTAAAACCATGACCAGAGAGCTCAGCCACACTTGCCTTCTGCCCTCTTTGAATACCACTGGATCCAAAGGGCATAAACCTACCATTATTCAGGCTCCCACACTGTCCTGATGTGTACAGAGGCGTGGCTGTCCTTGTGCCCCTTGGAATGAGAAGGCTATCCCAGTATGGTCCCAGCTGTTGCCACAGCCTCTCTGCTCCTATAACTGTGCTATGCTTGTGTATCAATAAACCACAGGAAGATTTTAGACCTCCAAGCATTTCTGAGGATGTCAGATTTGCTTTGAATCTGCAGGAATGTCTCCTGGGAAGAGACGACCCCTATTTTATGATCCCAGAGGCCAATTCAGCTTCTCCTGCCCTACGTGTACCCAGCACAGTGACCCACCCAGAGCAGGCCCTCAGTGGATGCCTGCTGGTTGGGACTGAACTGATCAGAGACCAGACTCCAGAGGAAGTGGGTAGGAAGACAGTAAAGGACATTTGGAGTGACAGGGAGCTGACACCCGAAAGAGGGTCGCGAAGAGTGATCCTAGCCTAGAGGCCTCTCATATAGGACATGGACAGAACAGTGCCGAGTAGGTTTCATGATGATCTCTCAGTGTTTCTTACTTATTTTCTTGTTTCCTCCCAAAGATCTAAGTGAGTTTTTGCTGGCTGTGCAGGTGTCAGGGAGAACACCGAGATGAATTCTTAGTGAGCCTTCACATTTAAAGGACCACTGGCACCTAAGAAGCAAGCAGGAGGATACTTTGCTCGTTGTCCCTTGTGGGAAAGAGAAGGATGAAGGGCAGGGAAGCACCTCTCAGTCAGAGGGGAAACTCCTAGGGCTGAGTCAGTGCTCTGCATGCAAGAGCTTCACCCACCTGGAGGGACAGGGCATCCCTTTCGTCGCTGGTACTTGGAAGGCTTGGATATTAGTTTGTAAGTCAGCTTCTCCCCTCATGGTACACATGCCTGCTAACATGGATCCTAAGGTTTTTCCTAATGAAAAAGGAAATTCACAGGGTCTTAAGCAGCACACTTTTAAACAAGCAATGGAGAAATCAGAATACAAACAAGATGCTTTGATCTTGTGATTACGAAATTATGATACATTAAACCTGCGAGATGCAACTAAAGCAGTACTTAAGGGACATTTATGCCTTTAAATGCATCTTTCACGCTTGTTAATTTCTCACAGTTACAGAGATGGGAAAGGACAGGGCTTCCGAACTGTGAAGCTTTGTAGTCAGTGCTTTCCTAAGCCATTGCATGCTCCCTGAGTCATGTATCAATAGCTTCCAGAGTTTCAAACACTGAGCTCAACAGAGCTCGACTTCAAATATACCTTTAAAGAGAACAGATTTAAAATTATATAACAAGGTGGCTAAGACATAAAGTGGTTCTTTAGCTGTTGTTGAAATCCCAGTGTTCCCAGCCCTTTACCTGTTACCTCTGTGCTACTTCTGTCTGTGTATGTGCAGCTATGAAAAGCAGCCTTTGAACGGGGCCATCCTAGCCAGAGGCTGTGTAGATGGAGGCAGAGGGCATCAGTTCACAGGAGCCACCTTGACCTAAACATCTTTCTGTTGTCTGATCTGTCGCTGTAGGAGCCTGGTCCTTCCCAGTTCCTGCTCTGCCCGCACCTCGTATCCCAGAAGGCCGTAGTGTCTGATGATTGTAGCTCATTGCTGGACTCCCCCAGGAGCCCTGATGCCTTCTTACTGGAAGCCATCATCTCATTCCAACCTTTTGGCCAAAACCCCCAGTCCTAGCCTGCACCTGGGAAAACCACCAACTGTGTTTGTACTATAAGGAAGATAGAAAACTGAAGATTTGACCAGTGATCAGTGTCACTCAGTTGACCTCCAAAAGGTCAATATCAGTAATGTTGATATGAGTGTTAATGGACAGAATTTGAAGATGTTGATTTTGTTTCAAAATGCATCTTTTGATGAGGTCATCCGATTTCTGAGCAGCTATGGTAGGTGAAAAATGACCTCCATCTAATCCCTGGAAAGACAACCACATCTAATTCCTGGGACCTGTGAATATGTTTTCTTCCATGGTAAAAGGGTTTTTGCAGATGTAACTAAGTTCTTGAGGAGATTATCCAGTATTATCCAGGTTCGTCCAGTATAAGCACAAGGGTCTTTATAAAAGGTGGGCTGTCAAAAACAAGGCCTGGGGGAAAAAAGCAAGGACTGGGTAACCCACTTTGAAGTTTAAGTGATTCACTTTGGAGGAAGTGGTCACTGCCTATAGAGGACAGGCAGCCTGTAGACACTGAAATTCAAGAAAATGGCCTCTCCCTAGAGCCTCCAGAAAGAATGCCACCCTGCTCGTCCCTTGTTTTGAGCCCAGTAGGTCTGATTTCAGACCTCCAGAACTGTGACAGAATAAATGGTGTCCTTTTAGACCACTAAATTTATAATAAGTTGTTATAGCAGCAATAGGAAACTCATACAGCCTCTAAAGAAAGAATTCATACAAAGAAGCATTGCCAGATTTTACAGCATTGTGCCAAGTTTTAAAAACTGATAACAATGTTAAATGCCTATTAATAGGGAATGATACAGCCACACTATAGAGTATTAGGTAGCATCTTTGTGTACTGACATATTGGGCTGTCCAGTACATATTAAATGATCTCTCTCTTTTTCTGTCTCTCATCCATGTACCCTATATTGAGGACTTGGCCCTGAAAGGGGGCTGGTGATTGGTCTTGTTTCCCTAAAGGGTTTGCAGGACTGAGAAGAGCCCTTCTTGGCTGTTACAGCCAGCTAGTCCAATGAGAACTTTGGCCCTGAAAAACCTCTTTGATTCTGAGTGTCTCAAAGGCTATTGCCATGCAAAGGATGATGAATAGACCAGAATAGACTGGGGACTGTCATAGCATCTAACCCATCCCTCTGGTTCCTCCACACACTTTGCACATGACCTAAGCTTGAGCCAGCCCTAGAAGCCATACACACACCCCACAGGTAAGGAAAGAAGACCAGGACCAGCCCAGCCACATAGAGAAGTGGTGGCTGAGCCTAGTGGCTGTCCAGCCTGCAGCCCTCGGTGACGTATTTGCAAACACGAGGGGCTCTGAGCCGCAGAACCATCCCATTCTCCCTGGTGCAGGCTCAAGTTCCCGCTCTGATTTTCTGGGTTTAATCCTCTTCCTGTGGAAATCAATAAGGACATTGTGATGGAATGATTCACGTTCAAGGTCAGGCCGGAGCAAATTGGAGGCGACATGCTGATTTTACTGCCCTCGCTGAGAGAGGAACCAATCCTGCTCATGGACCCCTTAACTCTTTCCTCACCACTCTCGTCACCTCTGTCAGTGCAGGCCCCTAACCCAGGGCCAGGACCCTGTGGACTTCCCACCCACTGTGGTCCTTCCTTTCGTGTTTACCCAAGGTTCAAACTACTCAAGGTCTTGAGGCGCCATGGCTCAGGCAAGGCAGATGACAAGGTCAGGAACAACTTCAAGTGCTCCATGTATGACTTCATTGGCTACAAATGTGCCAGGAAATCTCTCTCCTGCATGCAGAGCTTTCTCCTTTTCCCTCTTGTCTCAGTTTCAGGACCCTCTTCATGCTTACCTGTGTTGTTCCACATGGAAAGGTAAAGAAGATGGAGGAATACATTCCTCATTTTTTTAAATAAGCAGCAAATCAGATCTTTCCTGTGGCTCCAACATGATATTTACACTTATTTCTCCCATTCAAAATAATGGCCAGAATAGATCATCTGGAGTAGCTGGAATCTTGGTCTAAAAAGGTTGAGAAACCTTAGCCCCTCTGTCCAGCGGTTCTACCGTCTTCAGCGAGACTGTCTCATGGTGGCTGTGCTCGTGCATGTCAAGCCAGCACCAGGGTGTTCTGGGAATGTGCGCTGAAGATATGTGGGGCTAAGATTGGAGTATGTGGCCTCATCTAACTCCCAGGGAAGCTGGGGGAAGTGGTTCAGCTGTGTGCCCAGAAAGAGGAGGAGATGGATCTGGGAGACAGTGCCTTCTCCACAGGGAGGTAGTGATAGCAAGGATGATAATACTCAGAAGGATGGGAGACTGAACATGGGGTCCAGGGAAAGCTTATTTGATTATTTGAGGATGGCAGTGACTTGACTACAAGTACTGGAAGAAGCCAAAGAAGAAAGGGCTTTCTATGGAGAGAAGTCCAGTATCTCAGAGGACCCACAGTGGGCATGAAGACCACAGTGATAGTTCTACACTGGCTGGACAGATCCTGCCCTCCATCTTTATTTGCTTGTGCCCCCAACCTCTAACACAAAGAGCACAGAGAAATGAGTGTGAGCATGTCTTTAAGCCCGAAGGTAAGGGGTCCAGATAACAAGGAGTTAAAGGGTATAAGGGTAGGCAGAGCTGGGAGCCAAGTGCCCCCCAGCACACTGTGGCGGTATCAGTTAATCCCCTGCAGCAGGCAGGAGGCCTGCACAGCTGTCTCTCCCAAGCTGGAATTGCACCCTCTCCCACTGCCCCTGGTCCCTTGCCCAGGAATCCTGGTGGACCAGGGGTTGGGTAG